CTGGCTGCGGCCTGCGAGGCCGGGAAACCGGGGTCGCCCCGTGATACGAAACCTTCAGGCTTGTCCGCGGCTCAAAACCGTCATGGATCTGTCATTCACATTAGGTACCGGAGAACAAGGAACCCCGACTCCGGGAAACTTCAACTTTTGGCCGATCTGAAAAGTGAGGCAGGAAATGAGAAGGAATTCCCTCAATGACTTCCTCTCCATTGGAAGAACTTCCCGAGGTACGAATCCTCTCTCGTCGATCGAACAAGCCACGTCACGATATAGGGAATCCGAACCGATGGCCGATACACACCGGCAAAGCTCAACGGACTCCGTCTGAGATCCGTTAGGGAAACAAAGTATCATCGAATGCCATACTTATTTGAGACGAACGATCCGCCCACTCCTGCGTCGGGGCTTAACACTGTTTGTACTCATCTCCTGGTTTCGCTCCACGCGATCGCCTCCTTACGGGCGTTCCGTCTCCGTACCGTAGCATCGTAAAGGAATGCAGGTAAACCGGGGTGAGGCCAAATAACGACAGGTACTTCGCGAAAATCGCGGAGAAAATATCCGTGCATACCGAATTCAGCTGGGAGCACGATAACGAGGACCGGCATCCAATGATCCTGTTGTACGGAGGCATCCATGCGAGAGGTGCGAATATACAATATATATTCGTGCTCATGAACGAGTTGTTCTCCGAGGCGCAAGCCCGGAATTTATGGCGGCGTTTACGTGTATGTGCCTACACATATTGAACGAGACGGAACGAAGACGACATCATCGCGATCTCTCTCCGTATCCCAGATGACCCCGTCGAACTCCTAATCGACGATCGCGAAAGAACCGAGAGATTCAGAGCCATTGACCATTATCCTTATGAATAGGGCTCGACTTTCGTCGGGGTCCGTGAGCGCGATTTTTCTTTACATTGCGGCGCGTTTCCCCATAGAAAGTCTATGTGAGCCTGAAGTGCCGCGAGTTTCCGGCTAAAAAGCCGCGACGAAAGTCGAGCCCTAATCATGAACCTCGATCGCGGTCCTCCTCTCGACTCCTTATGGCATGAGAATCAGACTCGGCAACCGAGAACTTGAATAACTGAATTAGCATACTCGCTGGAAGATTCTCGAACGAGCATCTGAGGAAATCAGTTGACCTCGATCGGAGCCCCGCACAGGAAAATACGTTGTAGGAAGTCATCGTTGGGACGACTGGGGCGGGAATCGGATACGAATGAGAATCTCACTCGACAGAACGGAACTTGTCAGAGAACGCATCGACGAATTCTCTTCTCTTGAGTTTTACTGCAGGGTTCTTTTATACGAGTTGATCAGCTACGGTAGTAAAGCAAGCGGATCGCGAAAGAGGGAGAGCAAAGACAGGAATTCTGGAGAACGCCAAGCGACCTTGAGCGGGGCGTCCATCTGCGTTGCTTTCTCTCAAATAGCTCCGAGCAGCCATTGCGGCGCTAGTGAGCTCTCGGCTGTGCAATTTAGCTCTCCACCGAAAGGATATAGATGTTTCTATCGTTATTCTCCCGGCACGTATCGGATCAATTAGAGATAATCCATATTGAAGCTCCACTAGAACACTCAGAAGTCTAATTAATCATATTTACTTCTGCCTTGGGCGAACCGAGTCTCTCGCGGAAATTGGAGACGGGACGCCTGAACCCCTTCCCCTACACCCCCTCTCGCCATCGAGTTTCGCGAAGTTAGGGCAAGGTGAGAAGCAAAGGTTTAACTAATGAGCTCGAGCAGTATTCTAGCAGGGAGGCTGCTTTCGCTCCAATCCATATATAGCCAGTGCACCTACGATCCGCGAAAAATGGCCTTGTTCTCTAGGACTTCAATCCCTTCAAGGCGCCGACGCCGACGTCTACTCTACCGCCGACGACGACGATCCTGGAATTTACATACTATTCTCCGAAGCGGCGAATTTGCATCGCGCTCCCACATGCAAGCGCTCACGTAGCAGCCAGGATTACGAATCAGCATTTTATCTCCTTCCCAAAAAGCGCACTGGCTTATCTGGCTGCGGTTTCCAAGACGACGTTACGCAATTCGGGTCGACAACAGTGCTGCCACCAGAGGGTGAAGGGCCAACCCGCTAGAAGATCACCAAGACTCCCGATCAGCGAAATTGTCTCCAGAAATAGCAAGAGAACTTCTTACAGTCGTGTTAATGTCATCTCTCCGAATCGATACGAGTCCGTCCCGTCGCCTCCGCGCGCTGGCGAGAACGTCCGTCATCGATCCGATGTTCTACTTCAATGTTTTTCCAGGCAGAAATGACCTCGTTTTGCTTCCATATCGGATTGCCGGACGTCTTCCGTAGATTCCGATCCATGGCGCGTGGTTCTGGAGCTTTCCAAGGATACGCCGTTTTTCGAGGAGAAGTTTTGATGGAAGCCAGGTATTGAATTCTAATGACGACAGGTTCATTGAGACCCCGCCACGAAGGAGGGCTCGTTCATTTCCGGCGCTAGAACTTTCTACGACTCAAATCAGCTAGACAGTCGAATATTGATTGCGCCGAATCCACGCAGATCAATGAGCGATGGTAGCAGCCCCTGCCGATGAAGTGATATTCACTCATATTTGACTTTCACTCCGACTCAGCAGCCGACCCCAGATGTCGGCCCAGGAAACATGATCCTCTGCGCTTGGGTTGGGCCGAAGTACCTCAAGAGGAACCCTGATTGATTCCCACCCCAATGATCCTCTCCCCGCTCCTAGCAGCTCGCACCGATATTTTGTGGTGGAGGAGCTTTTTCCCGACATTAAGTGAACACTCCGTTCCGTCTTCGTTCCCTGCTCCGGACCGCGAGCGACAATCGCCCCTTCGAAGAGCGAAAGTGGGAAGTGAACTTCGCTCCTGATGGAGTGTTGGCCGCGGCAATTCTGTAGCGACTCTCTCCGTTCCCCGCAGCCGGTGTTGGGGGCCTTCGACGTCGTCCAGCCGATCGATCCTCTTCCAGCGGACAAACAATGTGGAAGATTTGTTGTTTCTTTATATTTTCTTTGAAGCCGCAGCGGGCGCCCAACTCAGGAGCTCAAAATCTTATTGTTATTTACACATCGTCGGGTGCAAGGGGTCGCTGGTGTAATGTGTCTGGAGGCGATCAGCTCACACGACGGCTAAGCAAATACCACGGGGCAGGATTGTCCCCGCTGCAAAAGCGAACTCAGCCCTACGCGCCTGCCTGGCTTCGGAGCGAAATTTGAAATTTCCTTTCCTAGAGGATCGATCGATCGATAAATGCGTCGCGCACCACTCCGGCTCAAGGCGACGACGTCTCCGTAGCTCTCTTGGCTGATTCTCAACACAGTTCCATTGTCAATCTGCGTGCGGCATCTCGCAGTGTTCATACGAGTCGGTCAGCGCTGTCAGGGAATTCCTCAGCTCGAAGTGTGGACTCCGGCTAGGACTAGCGTTCACGAACGGCAGGTACGTCTCAAAGAAAAACTCTCTACTGCGGGTCAACGTGTGGTCGAGGAGGCTCAGATGAGCCCATGCCTTCTGGGTAAGGGCCAACAATCGAACGGAACAGTGTTCAGAGAGCATGACGGGGATCGCGACCGATTGCCTCGAGGAGTTCTGAAACTTTGCCTGGCGAGGAAGGGCTAAGCACCATGAAAATGTTTCCCGCCTCCCAAATTGGACCCTCCAAAGTTCCTGGTAACGAAGCACAGGTAGGGAGTTTCGTCAAGAACGCGGTGCGAAGCGGCTCATTGGCTTCACTTTGCGCGAGACCCTTCGTCATTACCCAGGATGAGGACGGGAACGAATACGTCGACACGGTGAGTCTCATTTCCAGCCTTTTAGCGGAGGACCCTGTCCGCGTCACCTCTCCATAAGGCTCGGACGAACAGTGCCGATTGATCGATCCGAGTGAATATTCCCTCGATCTTTACGATGACGGAGAGTTCTTCCCCGTGAATTATTATTAGAAGAAATCTCACGTTAACATCGATGAAAATGCATTGATCGCATTAGCGATGCGACCGCTCGCTGTCTAGACTAGAGTAAGTCCGGAGAATTGTTCGATTCTCAAGGACAAAGAGACGTCGGATCGGGGAACCGCGCTGGAGCTACCTTCTTATTCTCCATCTTGGAAATTAAGATTTCAAATCCTTCAAGGCAAGCATCGACTCGACTGCCGACTTGACGTTGAACGTCTGTTCACCGCCGAGCCCGGATTCGTCTTCTAGGCCAGCTCCGGTCGCCCAACAAAATCACGAAAGCTCCAGCGGATCGCCGGTGAGCTGCTTTGCACGTTAACCTCGTGGCGCGTCGACAGATGTCAAGAACAGGACTCCTCATCCACCTCCGGAGCTTATTCTGCCACGGCTCACTCAGAAGCAAGGCGGACATGTCGCCGCGACCCGCGGGAGCCGGCTTTGCCAGATCGGATCAAACGAGAGATTTCCGCACCTCTGCATCAGGCACCTCGCGCACGAGAACATTCACTCTGTCGACTTCTTCAAAAAACTCGATTATACGCGACTCCAAATTAACCATGCATCTCCAATGTTTCCTCCGCTTATAGATTCATTCACCCACCTACAGAATCGGGAATACCAACAAAGCCCAACCCGTCCGATCGGAGCAGAAAGAATTGTTTTTTCGCGATGGAGCGCGACGGATAGGTCGGTCGAAGTGACTCGCTTCTCTCAATAATTGTCTGAATTCCTCCTCTTCCATTTTTCCCAAGCTAGAGATATCCTGACTTTCCCATTCTATCCAGATTTCGTGTTGGCTTACGTGGAGCAGGGCACGGAAGAAGCTGAGGTCAAAAGAAAAACTTTCCTGAAAAACCTTGAAAGCGAAGGTGTCAGCTTCGAAGCGGAACCTCCAGCGGTGGGTGGCAATGAACCTTACACGTTTGAATGATAGATTATTATCGAAGCATGTATTCCCCGCACAAGCCGTGAGGCGGAACTTGAACTCTCGGGGAAGTTTCTATTATGTTCCCGTGTTCGCCGCAGATCCCTTCGGAAGGCTTCATGGACTCAAGCGTAGCCTTTGTGAAGCTACATGCGAGTTGGGAGCTGTTGCTGTGCTATGCTGAACTTCTTGGCTTCAGGATGCCCGTCAAGGTAAATCCGCTTGATCTATGACTTCCTCGATGTCAGTGATCGATGGAGTGATTGCACGACACGTACGGGACGCGAACAGCGAGAGCGAGCGAGCGAGCATTATTCAATCTCGTAAATTACTTCTGGAAACTCACAAGAAACAGACGGAGGGCTAAAAATATTCTGTTTTTTCTTGGAGAAACGAGAACGTCTGGGAAAACTTCCTATGATCCACCTCGAAGCCGCTGGGAACAGAAGCCTTCCAACTCTGGCTCCGCAGGTAACGTGAAACAAGGAAAGTTGGTTGACGCGGATGGGACTTCTCAATTCTGAGTGAGTGTGTGAAGACACGGTCAAATATTAACTCGGGACTTTCCTCTGTGAAGCCTTCGCTGGCCGTGGGAACGGACTCCGTCCTCCTGGGCTTACACAGTGCTGCTACTACGGTTTTGGGAACGAGACTCGTCGAAAGCGACTCTCCATGGGTGTGTGTCGGGAGCTCTATTTTTCTCCTCATGCGGCAGCCTTAGAGATCGTTTCTAGAGAATTTTAAATTCCCGGCAGACCGGAGTGCGGAATCACTTCCGGAGAGTGACATGTGTTTGAATGCATCCGTCTAATCCCGATGTTTCTATCGATTTCGCAGTACGAAGACGCGGACGACGATGTCTCAGAACACACGTCGAGTTTCGCAGGGAGATTCTTCGACTACGACAGGAAATTGATACCGCGAGAAACGAAATATTACCGAGCGAAGATTTCCTCCGATAAGCTCTCATTGTGAGTGGATCCGACGCATTTTATTTGGAGTCGGGGAGATTCCTTATGGCTGACCGTGCTCAGAAAGCTGGGCTTCGAAACAGCGTGATTGCCGGTTATCGGCCCGCATGCATCTTGAGATGTCCGGAGGATGTTAGAGAAACAGCTCAGCGTTCGTGAAAGGCGCAAATTATTCTGCGAGGTGTTTCCACTCCCACTGTCCCGGATCACCGGCTCCCAGCGGTCACACGGAGCTCAGGAATGGTACCGCGTACCGTATCGGACTTGGAATGAGAATTTGAGCTCCATTCTTCCAGTCACACCCAACTTCATTCGGATGGTCACCTCCTTGTCTGATCGGTTCCGGAAGCGGTCGAGAGGGAAACTTGCGGGGTTCTCCTCGAAAAGAGCCGTCTTCCCTCCACCGAGTGACTTGGGCATCATATGCATCATTTTATGAGAAAAGCTATGACTTGCTACGGATTTAAGCATTGAGCCGCATAGATTTGGAACAGGAGAGCCTCGCCGAAGTCCGCCGGAGACTGACTCCTCCGTTGATTCAATCATTCTTTCTACCGTGATGAAAGCTCTGGTGCTTTTTGCGAGAGATATCGGACCTCAATCTCACCACGATATTCATGCATAGCACCTTTTCTATTACACAGATTCATCGTCGGAGATCGTGAGACATTTTTCAGTCCCGCTCAAAGGAGTCGTATAATGTGGGAAGTAATGATCAGAACCTATTTCGGGAGCTCACCGAACATGAGAGGAATATCTGGCCTGTTGAATGACGGAACATTCAAAGCAGCATATCCGTTACACGACGTAAGCTAGAGAGCTAGCAATGAATCAGGGCCTGTTCCGGCTCGGTTGGTGTTGTCACTCGGAGCTTCTTATTCTGCAGGGATCGCTGAACTACTCCGACGAGCCTGATTCAGAGGAGCTCAGTGAGCGGAGGGTGGGTCTCTCTCAGCGGCAGGGCTGAGCCCATACCTCCGGAATTGCAATACTTTCAGCCCGTTCCCATCCTCCCCATTTCATTCCAACTATCTCTACTCTTCACCGACAGATACTACATAGAGCATGGGCGCATCCCTCGGCATGGTATCGGCATCAACCCATACATCTCATCAGAAGATATTTCGGTGAGACCCTGGAAAGGATTTATGTCTAACTCACGATTTTGCTCCAAGACTGGTGTTCGGGACGGTCTCCTCTGAGTAGAGGATCGAGCTGAAGAATCATTTCCTTGCAATTGAAGCGAGCAATCTGGAGGGAATCCTTTCCTCCGCCATCGACCACGTGGTTTGCGGGAATCCGTAACCCCCATTTTTTTCGGGCAAACTTCCGCCGAACAGCACGCACCATTTTTGAGCATTGCGTTCGGGGGATTCGGATGGGGCGGCATTTCCCTGAGCCCACCCAGGAGCCTTCTCAGCCAGCTACGCAACAGAATCCCAGCAACGCCTCACTTTCCCACGTATCGTGGAATCCTGCGATCCGGAACCCTCGCAATGAACTTGAATGATCCCGCTGGTTGGGATCGGAATTCGGGAAAAGCTCTGTTTTCGGCCCTCTTACAGCGAAAGACTCTAGGATCTTTAGAAGAGCCTCAAACCCCGTCTTGGAATTCCTCAAACGGGAACTTTCTAAGACGAGACATAATATAATAACCAAGACAGAACTTCGCCGGTCTGCATTCCATGAAAGAGCAGGTGTAAAGCTGTACCCTTTCGCGGGAAGAGCGAATCACTGGCGACCTTTCCGATGCTGAGGAAGGGACCGCCCCTGATCAGTGATCAGACCGCAGATACGTCGGGTATATAACCTGATAACTTATAGACCGGAGTGGCAGAATGACGCGTGGATGATCAGAGAACATCCTCGAGAATGAATGAGAGGGACATCGGATACTGCAGAGAGCCATGAGATTTCTTTACCGATGGATCAGAATGATATGATCCGACGAATTATTCACTCTCACATCCATTGGTGCAGGTGAGAAAACAGGCTTTTACTTCGCCTGGTTGGGCTTCTACACGTCAGCTCTTCTCCCTCCAGCCGTACTTGGCATCTTCGTCTGCCTGCACGGTTTTGTGGAATTATACACCTCAGTGCCAATGTGAGTCGTCGCGGGAACGAACCGGAATTCGGGATAGTGCTGGTCATCGGTGGAATTTATACACTAATTCCCGAGTACATGAAGCTTCTTGTTTTTCAGACATGACACGTGTGAGAACAAGTTTTCTGACACTGTCATAATGTGTCCCAACTGTCTTTCCTGCAAACTGCTCACTCTGCGACAGGATTTATGCGCGTCGATAAAAGTGAACGCTTTCTTCGACAACACGGGCGCTGTGATATTCTCGATTTTCATGAGCGTTTGGGGTTCGTCGTTTCGAATTTTGCAGATATCGATCGAACATCCAAGTTCGAAGAGCACTGCGTCCTCACCCGGGAGCATTCCTCGAGAACGATCCGGCAAAATAGTTCTATCTCCGATTTCAGCTCGGATCTTCATCAAATTATGGAAGAAACGAGAATCGACCCTCGTTTTTGAGTGGGCGGTACCCGAGGACGAAATGGGTCAGGTATGTTTCGTGCTCCGATGCAGCGGTTTTTCATTTCATCCCGAAGCTCTTCCTCTCTGCGAGACGAGACATTCGAGCTGAGCGCTGAACAGTTCCATAAAAACTGGGCTTGCCGATGTCCCCTAGGAGGAAATCAATCCAGATCTGGAAGCAACAGCGGCAATCTACCGACTGAATCCTGTGACCATGGATTACGAACCCTACATCCCCCTCTGGGAACGTGTCGCTAGGACACTGAGTGCGGCGTCCGTTGTCATTTTTATGGTAATTTACTCGGGGAACTGCCCCCTCATTACGTGATGCTGCATAGCGCACTCCGGGATGAGGATGAAAAGAAGGCCCGGAATCACCGTTCCGCGATGGAACGAATGAGAGTCACGATGTGAATTGAATTTCAGATATTCCTCGTTTTCGTCGCAGTTTTCGGGATCATAGTCTATCGGTCTGTGATGGAGCAGATGCTGAATAGACATACGAAAGAGGGAAGAGATGAACTAAGTTCTGCTCTACAAAATCCCGTACTTTCGTCGAAGGCAGTTGCGTCCGCAACGGCTTCACTAGTGAATCTGATCTGCATCTGGTTGCTGAGTTTCGTGAGTTCCCCGCTGCCTCGAGCTCCTCCGCTCTGACGCAACATTTATCCTATGTTTGAATTCCATCGATCATCATTTCTTTGCGGCGGCTTCTGATCGGGAATTCCTTCCAGGTCTACGAGAAAATAGCTCGAGGTCTCACGCATATGGGTACGTACATAAGTACCCACCCCCACTCGTAGCGGAGGGCATTCCACCTCCAGTCGACTCTGATCGGAGAATTCGATTTCGGAGTTCAGAAAACTCCGAGGCCTAGCGTCGATAAGCTCAAGGCTCGGAGTCCGCGTTGCCAAAGGCTAGAAAACACGCCTTTTGTTCCCTTGCGACCAATTCATGGCTCACGAGTAGAACCTCATTGTTTCCAGAACGCCAGCGAACCATATCCGATTTCGAAAACAGTTATACGGTTAAAATGTTCCTGTTTCAATCCGTAAATCATTATATCGGTCTCTTCTACATCGCATTCCTCAAGGGCAGGTTCGTATTCACGAGAAAATCCATATGTGCTCACTCCGAGTCGCATTCGGGATGATAATGAAAAAAAGTTCGAGGAGGAATTGAAAAGGGGGAGAAGTGATCCGCAACGGAAGGAAATGACGTCACGGATAGCGACAGCGACGAGCCTCATGCCTCGAACTGCGTATCATACCAGGGGTGTAAATATGAAACGAGAAAATTTTTCAGAAAAGGAAAATTTTTTAAAAAAAAAGTACAACTCGTAATTTATTCGAAGTAGGCTCCCTGATTAGATATACACTTCGACCACCTTTCTGGCAGGTTGTGGATGCCCTTGTGATAAAAGGCTTCATTTTTCGAATCGAACCATCCGACCACCCATTTTTCGACTTCTTCAAAATCGGTGAACCGCTGATTATTCAAAGCGTGGCTCATTGATGCGAAGAGATAATAATCTGAGGGGGCCAAGTCTGGAGAATAGGCAGGGTGTGTCAGAACTTCCCAGTTCAAAGCGCTCAAAGTTTCCTGCGTCGGCTTCGAGGTGTGACACGGAGCGTTGTCGTGGAGCAAAATGAAGCGATTCCGAACTTGGTCCCAATTTGGTCGTTTTTCTTTTGACCGCACGGTTCAGATCGATTAACTGCTGTTGGTAACGGGCAGTATCAACAGTTTCACCGGGTTTTAGCAGCTCATGATAGATCACTCCTCTTTGATCCCACCACACACAGAGCATGGTCTTCTTTCCGAAGCGATTCCTTCTCACTGACTTCTCTGCTGGTTCTCCGGGACTGACCCACGATCTTTTGCGTCCAGGATTATCGTAGTATATCCATTTTTCATCACTAGTGATGATACGATACAGAAACGACTTGTTTTTGTATCTCGAGAGCAGTTCCCGACAGACTGTCAATCGCACCTCTTTCTGTCGTTCACTGAGTTCGTGTGGCACCCATCTGCCGAGCTTTGAGATCTTTCCCATTTTCTTGAGTCTTATGGAAATCGCTTCACGAGTAACTTTCAGCTGTTCTGCGAGTTCACTTTGAGTTTGCGTGTTGTTCTGATCGAGAAGAACTTGCAAATCTTGATCCTGGAACTTTTTTGGAGGTCTCCCCCGGGGTTCGTTCTTCAAATCGAAGTTTCCCTTCGAAAAGTTCTCATACCACGCGTAGCAACGAGATTTGCTAAGCGCATGATCACCGAACGCTTCCACAAGCAGAGAATGTGCCTCTGATGCACTCTTCTTCAAGTGAAAGCAGCGAGGCCCTGAGAATCTGATTTTCGGGCTCGTAGAGGGACATTTTTGGCAGGGTGTCAAAAAATTTAGAAACACAATTTTCGAACTCTATCGACCATTTCGTGTGACCGCGAATGCGATGTAAACAACGCAATTGATCGGGCGCGAAAATTCAAACTGCAGCTTGAGCTAACGCCCTCTATCGGATTTTCTCGTTTCATAGTTACACCCCTGGTATAAGCTTATTCCTTCTAGATTCCAGGGCCATCCTGGACAGACCGCGTCGATTCTCGACGCAGACATGGAAACGTGTGATGGGGGCTGTCTATATGAAGTTTTCCTCCAGCTGTTCATCATAATGGTTGGCAAGCAAATTGTTAACAACGTCCAGGAATTTTTGACACCGTTAGTACACAGCCATATGTTTATCCATTGGGTCCTTTCATTTTGGCTTCCGAGGAGCAGCGGTGTGGTTAAGCAACGAGTCTCGGGCTGCTAGGCTGCGCCAGTCATTCGGAGAATCTGGCTCTCGCTCTAGAACATAAGAAGGCCCAGATATTTTTCTGTCAGCAACTCCCTCCCCGAATATTGATTCCGCCGACCTTCAATCCGACTCCACTGATTTTTCCTGCACAAACAAACACAACGAATTGATCCATCTCCTTTGATGCTTCACTTTCTCCCGAGTTCCCGAAATAAAACCCGCTTTCCCCAATACGTCATCGTGAAGGACGGCAGTCATGTACGGAAGACCATCCTTCGCGATACGCCTACGCAATCGTTGACTTATACGTACCTCTGCGAATTGTTCCGGCAGAGTGTTCTTCAGATGGTGGAAATACCGACGCACAGCTGCGAGCAAAGGCCGGGTTTTGACTCGCTGGGAAATGGATTACGAGCTCAAAGAGTGGACCATGCTCTCCTTGTTCGAGGAATATCTCGAGATGGCTCTCCAGTTCGGATTTTGTACGCTATTCGTCGCCGCTTTCCCGCTGGCTCCCCTCTTCGCCCTGCTCAACAACATCATAGAAATTCGTATCGATGCGTACAAATACGTCGTGCAGCAGAGAAGACCTCGACCGCAGACAGCGCGCAACATCGGCGTCTGGCACAAAATCATCGAGGGAATTTCCCTTTGCGCCGTCGTTTTCAACGTGAGGCTCCATTGCACTATTATACTCTCTCATCGATAGCGGTCCCGATGACCATTCAGGATTCAGGATTTGAGGAGCCTGTCTCTCTCCTATTGTATTATTGTATCAAATTCCAAGTGCTTTGCAGGCGTTTTTCATCGCGTTCACCACGGAGTTCATCCCGAGGGCCATGTACCGACTGGACCACGGTTCTCTCGACGGCTATGTCAACTCTACGCTTTCACGGTTCGCCGTGGCTGATTATCCGAAGAAACCAGATGTACTCCAAAACAACGCAAGCATCACTGATTGCTGGTAAGCCGACACCCTTATTCGTTCTGGTCTAGAGCGAGAGAAAACCTCGTGATCGACTCCGATTACTCCCGCTTGGCCGTGGGGTAATCCTGATGTTGATTCGATGCTGAATGAGCTCTGGTATTGACACCAGTCACTAGGTACTCTTCCGACTGCTCCAAAAACCTTGACTCGACCCACTTTCAACACAGATGAGCCTGGTGTAGTTTTGTCGTGCTCCCTTACAAACTCGACGATGAATCCAGACTCCCCGGCTCCGCGTTACTGGGGCCGCTCGGCATACTTGTGAATGTGAAGAGATTGCGTTGTGAGTGGAGACGCCTCGGGGCAAGCGGATCTCGAGAGCCGTCGACCTCTCCGAGGGCTTTGAGCGCTAGCTTATTCCACTCGCCGGAAGTGAAACATATGGTCTCATCGAAGCCCCTCGGTGTGACCCGGTGGACTCGGGAACCGTTGATTATCGTTGAGGATACGTATCCGAGGATGATTGAAAGCTCGACAAATGCTCGAGAGACAACTTCGGAATATTCTTGCTCTTATCGCGCTCAAATAAACGCCCGATGCGGGGCATAGGCCGGCTGCTCCTATTCCCCCTTCCGGCACCCCGCTCATGTTGTCCGTATCAGGCGAGATCGCGAAGCGCGCGAAGGTCACCGATAGCGATTCCCGCTCGGCTCACAGACTCGCTTGGGAACAGTAGGTCATTCATCCGTTTTCAGGTATGTGGATTATCGGGAAGCCCCATCGGCCGGATCGGCGAGCTACGGATTCTCGAAGGAATATTGGAGGGTGTCCGTTGGGAGGCTCGCTTTCGTTGTGGTTTTCGAGGTGAGGTTCTTCCGTTGTTTTGGGATCGTCTCACTGCAGGTGGCCTCCCATAAGTCCTCAAGAGAGATAGTTCCTCTGATTACCCCTCTCTGATGTATTCAGCATCAGGCGTGAAAGGGAATTCTCTCCGGTCAATTCGAAATCATTTCGCACGGTCGCCTTCGTTGACGGTGGCGCCACCTGTGGCTCCTCGCTGAAGTGAGTCAGCGCGAATTCAGTGCATTGCCCCAAAGCAGCAGGAATTTCGCGGGTTTCCTTATTGAATGTCCCTGGTGTTCCGAATAATGCATCGGCTAGCTGCGTGACTCTGATCAGAATGTTTCCGCCCTTGGAGTGCAGCCGATTTTTTAAATATTCCTTCCATTCGTGATATTTCAGCACATAATTTTTCTACTGGCTCTACTCGTTTCATCGGCGATCCCCTACGTGTCAGAGGACGTGAAAATCCGCACCAAGAAAGAACAGATACTAACGCAGGAACTCTTCATGAAAGCTGATCTAGGTCGCAGCAGAGGAAACATGATCAGCACGCATATCGTACGACCAAGATCGCGTATCGTCTTCGTAAGCTGAAATCCAGGAAGCGCATCGCCTGGATATTTCAGGCCATTGCCACGACCAGAGACCTCTTATCCATCCGCATGTCAATACCAGTGAAACTTGAATTTGAAACTTGCGAATCACATCTCCAGGACGGAACCGGTCTCCTTTTTTCCGCACGACCCGCTGTGGCAGAATTCGGCCATGGTTGCTTTGATCGAATTTTCCCCTGAGTCTTCCTCGCTCACAGCGGAGGAGGGGGGGTCACAGGGACAGATTTCTGAATTTTAAACGAAATTGTCGAGCCGACATGTCTTCTACAATGGACAGAAATTGACGGACCCTCGTCTGCTCAGGAGTCTCGCGAGTGTCTCCCTCGGCAGCTCGGAACTCAATTTTAGCTTTTTACATCCAAGAGGGTAGCGTCGGGCTTAATTCCATCGTTCCCACACTCAAAGTGATGGCGAAGCTCAGAAGTTAATGTACCTACAGACATAGAAGGCGACAGAAGACGATCTCTGGAACCCGCTGCGCTCTGAATCCGACAGAAAATTAAAGCTTCCGGGGCTGCATGACGGTGGATGGAATGCCGCTGGGGCTATGTTGCGCAGAGGGCGATTCCCTGATCCGTTCTTTTCTGAGTAATTCATTTGTCAAACCTCAAAACTGCCGTCCTCAGAGGCCTTCCTTGATTGCAAGCTCGAGGACTCTTCGGCCGACGGGCACTTCTGAATTCTGAATGAGCTCCGACGGGCCTATGGGGCGCGCCTCGGAACAATGAGACTTTTCGTGAAATATTGTGCCGTCGCTCTTCGTATAGGACGCTTCCCAGTAGTGGTATACTTCTCGACAGTCATCTGGCATCCCAAGGATGGAGTAAGACCGAAACGATGAGGAGAAAGATAACAACAACAATGACTTCATGACATGGACGTGTCTGAAATCGTCATACGCCTCGACTTTCCCTTTGTTTCCCGGGAGAAGAGAGAGCCACGCATTGACAGGATCTGTTAGAGATGCCCTATGCCCAAACATGGAACCGCTCGCACGTTTCCAGATTACTAATCGCCCGACATATCGTTCCGAAATCGGGGCTCGCTCTGGCACTGAGATTTGAAATGGGAGGCGCGCGTGGCACTAAAGGGAGTTCCAGCGAGAGAGCCTTCGGTCATTGAGGGGATCGAACAGGCCAATTTATCACAGACTATAAACCTGTTATGCACTAGGTCTCTCGTCGTATTTTATTTGATTTCGCCTCTCAGAAATCGACAACTTCGTCGCTGTCGCTATCCCAGCCAGCGGAAGTTTCGAAGGTGTTGAAGTCGACTTCAACATCATATTTGAAATTTGGATCCCCTGGCTTCACAGAGTTTTTCTGGAAGCTCGAAGACATCAACTCTTTCTTCACCTGGAAAGATCAGAAACTCAACGTAGTTTTTGGAGTCATGCGCGGCACCGAACTCCTCTCGAGAAAAGCATCAGATCTTGATTCCGAGAGAGAGAGAGAGAGAGCTCAATTATCGGATACGTCAGCATTCCAGACAGCGAGACACGAATGTTTGGTGCTTGTCCCATCTTCCTGCCGGGCCGTCAATGACTGAGGGTAATGTCGTCGGGTGAACAGATCAGTGTAAGCGTCGGACTTTATGTCTACGGCTCCAAAGACTTGCAGAGGCTCGTTCAAAGTTCCAAGTGTCTCGAATCTATACAGAAAGGGAAAACCCGAGCACGCACTTTGACTGCCGATGTTGCTCGAAGGCTCTACGGCAAGCCTGGAGCCTCCGGTGACGGAGCCGAGAAGTCAGAGCTGGGCTTCCGAGGGCTCCCAAGAAGATCGTCGGTCGAGACGCGAGATGAGAGACGTCCCCCGGAGAGGGGATCGAAAGGCGAGAAGATACGCCGAAATTCTCTTATGATTTACCTCTGCGCGAATGAACTTCTATTGATAGGCGCCCAGAAGGAAGTCGTAACAATATTCATGATATCGAGGCCTACGAGGTCATCTCTACGTGAGCTCTCCGCCTCGATGGGTCCATCATGCGCCAGGTACTCGATCGCCGACTTCCGCCAAGACGGAAGCCTCCTTCAACCGGATATTGAGAGATGGTCGTCGTCATGGTCTTCCGCTTATACTCACTTCGAGAGCCTTATCGTCGAGTACATTGAGATCTTCCTCTGGATCGAGAGAGTACTTTTTTGTGGCAAAGGCGATCGCATCCTTCACCGAGCTCCCTCGGACCGTCTCCTGCGAAAACACAGACCATCTTGATTCCAGCAAGTTGATATTGAGAGCAATTCCCGCGGAGGGGGAACCGGGGTTTCCCCGCCCCAGAACCGGACGAGATTGCCCCTTTTGTGAGTTCCTGTTTCATACGACGTTCTGGATACAGTAATCCGAATCGATGGCCATTGTCGCCACCCCGAATTCTCCCCAAAGGGCTGTGTACTGATCAAGAGATCAACGATTTCCTTAGTCGTCTACAGTGGCGGAAGGATGGCGGAGAAGAGGGGACAGGGTGCACGCGCTCTGGGCACAGCTTCGAGTGTAGACGCTATTCTCAAATTCGGCTTCCGGGGAACGATATCCCGTGAACGTCATCCCAGAATATTGCAGAGCGTGAAATATTTATGTGGGTATATCATTTCCGAAGTAGGGGGGCGCCAGACAGTTTCCGCCCCAGGCGCCACGAACGCTAGATACGCCAGAGAATGTTCCTCCGCACAGGAAACACTCGAACTCACCTGCACTATGGAAAGTAACTTCTCGATTTGTAGACTTTGTAGTTCCCCGAGGACATCATGTTTTTTCGACAGCTCGGCCGTGATGATCTAGAGTGGATTCAAGAACCTGAACTCATCCGATGACACTCTCGATCTTAGAAAACTACACTCGCAGGACATTGCTTACGCTCTCGTGGGAAATTCATACCTTCAGATCGCTGTTCCGGTAAATACCTCTGACTGGCATTGATCTCCTACGGAACCTTCTATCACGCTCATATACGACGACCTGGGATATCCTTCGGTTATCCGTGAGCCTTAGCATCTTCCTCATGGGCGGCGAGCCACGAGGCTAGAGCAAGAGCTCAATTTACAGCAACATCATGAGTCATGAGGAACCATGCCGGATAGCCGGAGAAACTCACCAATTTGGGGGTGCCCTTCAGTATAATTCCAATCTTTTTGATTCGATTCCTCTCAACGACGCTGACACCTGTCTCCATGAAACTTCCAGAAAGGAACCGTACGAGTACGAAAGCTACATGTATGAGGCGCGTCTTGATGGTACTCCGTAGGCCAGCACGCTCCAGTAGGACGGTGTTTTCGTTCCCATGGTGACCCTCGCAGAATATCATCAGTCGTCGAGGCGTGGCCTGCAGCTGGGCTCTCCTGCCGACGCTGACCGACTGCATAGCTCTTTGATGAACAAATTTCACTTCCTGGAAAACCAATTGTTTCTATCCCTAAACGCTCAGCTTGAAAAGTGAATTAAGCCTTCGGCCATAAGGCGTCAAATTTTCTTCCGTACTGTCGACGCACTCGATTGCAAAATTTGGAGTACTGGAATCAACTTCAGTACATGGCTGATATGGTAGATATCGGAACTCGAACTTCCTTAAGGATATCTCGGCAGAGGCGTAGAACCTCTCCGAGTATCGTGTCGAAGATGCGCTCCTTGACGATCGCCCGAACATAATGGGTTGGTGGAGGTCGCGGTGTAGCCGGCTTCGAGGATTTCGTCAGGAGCGCCTCAATAGCATAGAATTTCAATGGATCACGGCATTCACATTCATTCAAGGCGCGATCGGTATCGTAGCAGGAAACGGCAATATTCATAGTTCCACGAGAGCCCCCGCGGGGCTGGGAGTCGTTGGAGATTACAAGTTTATTTAGAAAAACTAGTAGAGATCCAACATGGTAGTTCAAGTTCTCTATGATATATGTGCCCAGCGACTAGTTGTTGATGTTCGTCCAAACGGGCACAGTATTCATTTTTCAAGCCTGGGTGTTCCAATGCATTTTTCAAGCTGCGGTGCTCCAATGCATTTTTCAAGCTGCGATGCTCCAACGCATTTTTCAAGCCACGATGTTCCAGATCGCGCAATAAGGAGGCAAGCGGAGCGCTTGCTTGAAGCTCGTGTCATGTGCCTACTTTCCCAAGCATTGTGTGTTCGGACGAGGGTTCATCAGAGCACGGCGATAATGCTCGCGACCACGCTCCTAGCCTTGAAGCCGCCATGCGCAATATCCTGCGTACTTTAGAACGCTCCGAACCAAAAATGTGACTTGTACCATCCTTCTTGGGAGATGGCCTAGGAAACTTCCCAGCGAGGAGGGCGGAGTTCCGTCGCGAATATTCGTCATAGTAAGCGTGCCTTGATGCAGCATGAGAATGCTTTGGAATGATGCTCGCCCTTAGAGGTGGGACGAATTCCCGGGATCGGGTTTGGCTTCTTGTTTTCTCCCTTTCATCGGAGAACGACGTTGACCTTGCTTCCTCCAAGCGAGAAGTACGCCTGGGATTGTGTCTTCGGTGAAGTTCGATTAAACGCGACTCCCTCTGTTGGGCAATATCAAAGAAATGCACAACTGATACTCCTACGACAGGCGATCTATTCGAATCTGCTGTCGAAATGATTTGTTTCTCGCGCAACTGTTCCCTCCGCTGCCTTTCGATGCCCTCCAATTGGTCGTATTCGGTCCCTCGCAAGTTATCGCCGACGCTTCCCATTCCCATCAAGAGCTCGATCCTCTAAATCGTCAGCTGCGTCGTCGTTCGTCAGGTGTACTGGCAGACGCAGTAGACACGGGATATGAACATGCAGTTCTCGACTCGCCGCTCGACTTATCCACAAGTCAAGAGGAAGAACCATCATGTCCCGTGAAGTGGACACTCGTCCTCCGCACCTGTGAGTCCTACCGTGAGGAAAAGCTTTGGTCAACTACGTTCGAGGTCCGGCATGCACTGAAAATCTTCGATTCTAAACTATGCCTGTGAGCCTCATAGACGGGATCAATCCTCACACAGGACGCATCGAGCTCCTCGGAGGAGTTTTGGGAGTTTTGCTCAGATTTCGATGTTGTATCCGATCCCTAAATGTAACGCTACCTGTGCCCAAGTTATTTGAGCCTCACATGCCCAAGCCTCATTTCGATGTTCGTCTCAAACCCTCCGCATAGCAACCCAGGTAGAGTCTCTTCGATCAGACAGATGACGCTCGAATCCGGAAGAAGACGGAACTACTCTGTTCGCGTCAACGCAATTTATTTGTCAAATCCTGATACAATAACTCAGAGTCTCTATCCGACTCGTACACGACATGCGGGTTGTCTCAGGCAACCGCTGGCGATGGCTTCTTGTATCCAATTATAGAACACCCCCGACTCGAGACTATTAGCAGCATTTTCGATTTCAAAGCACTTTCCGAAACGATAAGTCGCGTTCACGATTTCGGTGAAGTGAGCTCGAGCTTCTCTCGCCATGAGAGAGCATTTCGATGTGATCGTTGCTTCGCGGCATCTTTTGAAACGCTTCTTCCCCGACGAGAAAGCTTGAGCGATCTCATCTTGATCGTCGGAGAATTCAGTAACAAGTTGAATAAGTGTTCTCTCCAGCAGCACGCGATTACGATCCAAACTTTCTTTATCACAGGCGAGCTCGACGGTGAACCCCGTGCTTTCCTCATTGCGAGATCTTGGCATGCAGTAAACAGCACAATCGCCGATACGGATTCGCGAATTGAAGAAATCCGTCAGAATTTCCAGGAAAAAAGCGTTTCTCACGTCGCTTATTCCTTTCCACTGATAGTAAAGCAAGAATATCGCTTTTCGATCCGAGAGACTTCCCGGATGAAACCGATCTTCAAAACGCGGGTTTTCAAGCGGGGCAGCCTTCGGAGGCGGAAACCGAGGATCCGAACCGAGTTCATCGATTACTTGTCCCGTCTGAAGGGCATCATCTGAGCTATAATTACCGAAGATGAAACAATCTCTGAAGAGACGTCCGCTCATGTCTCTGCGGACGTTCGCTATGTCTTCTGCCTGCAATGCTTCGGCGGCCGCAATTTTCTTGTGCAGGTCCAACTCGCCGCTGTGCATTTGTTCAAACATGTTCTCAGCCAGTCCCGCGTTAGTGGTTCGCAGACGATAGCTCTCGATCATATCGGCATGACACTCGCTGAAAAGCTTCGGTGAAATTTCGGTGCTTCGGATGCGCCGAACCACGCACCCCATGAATGTGTCCAGTGATTCGTTAGCAGCATCAATTGAGATCGAGATTCCAGAGCTTGTAACCGCACCCTGTAAATCGATGCCGGCCTCAGCGGACCGGCGAGTGAGCAACTCTCGCTCCAAGAGGGCACATGCAAGCTCTGCGGACACAAACCATTTAGCGGAGCTTACAGGCTCCCCGACGAAATTCAGGAAGCAGAAGACTTTCGGTGAGTTCAAGTCCCGGAACTGATACCACAACCGATGCGATCCTGACTTGGAGATGACATTTGGATAATTCTCGACGAAACGCTGTTCGCGACGGATCTCGAGCTTCCGGGGCATCAACTCGTTAGGTTCGTATCTCGTGAATGACCATTTCCCCGACCCTCGATCTATGATAGGCATATCCATTATGAGCCCCACGCTTGGATGAGCTTCGGCGTCCGGGAAATCGGACACGTCGAAATCGCCCTCAAGAATGACGTTAAAGGCTGATCTCGAAAGACGCGAAATCGTCGAGCTTATAAGCTGAGGATCGAATTCCAACATGAGATGAGATCTGTCGAAGCAATCTTCCGGTGCGTGATTCAATATGGCTCTGCACAGCGTTTTCCGACTGCGGAGATACGGTTGAGAATCGTACTCGCTTTTTAGTCGGCAGCTCATCGCTGCCTCCCCATATATCCACTCGAGAATGTCGTCTCTCTGGATGTGACTTAAATAATCGAAGAGAGCGGCGAGTATCCGTTCCTTGAATAGAACTCCTCTTGACGTGAGCATGAAAATGACGCGGAAGACACTCCAATGCTTGTTGATTTCAACGCTATCTTCTGGAACGACGACCTGGAATAAAAAGCGACTTATACTCCGACGGTCGTCTAGGCTATCGTCCGGAAACCCTCCCGGAGTGTCTTTCTATGCCGGACACCGACCTGAATGTGACTGGCGAGATCCTGCTCTCGGAGTTGATGTAATAAGCCGCCACAATACTCTTGTTGCACCAAATAGGCCAAGTAGTTGAGTGGCTTACACCGATAATCGTTCGCATCTGGTCCTGGCAGAAGCCATGTGACGACAAGTCTGGGCATTGCACTCGAACAAATCACGACCATTTTCTTAATGTTCTCGATATCTGGCGCGGTCATTGGATCTTCTCTCTTCCCAGCGAGATCGATGACGGGCTTCGGACACTTGACAAGCGATACGAATTTCTGTGCTATCCTGATGAGTTGATCGACGTCTTGAGCACCTCTAACAATCAGAACCTTTCTCCGAGTCGGCATCAACTGACTTATCCGCTCACTCAAGCCATTACGGCTCAGGGAAATCGGTCTGTTGAGGAAGCTCAGCAGCCTGGCGAATCGGTGCTCTTTCCCGACAAGGGCGGCTAGAGTCTCATTCTCTGGACTTGATGCCGAACTGTTCTCGATTGTGATGGTCCGGCCGTCGACATCTGCCAAGTCCATTGCGGCAAGAATCTCGGCGAATTTTGCTGCGGCCAAAGACAGCGCCGATATGTGAACCTCGAAACCGATGATTGTGAAGTCCACGCACAGTATCGGCGGATCGAGCGCGCCGTTATTCAGGCGGATGAAATCCTCGAAACGTCGAAATTTGTCCGACGAGAAAAGCGCCTGCTGGAACGAAGCAACCTCTCTGGCACCATCCGCCAATCCCGAATCTATGCACCACGTCAGTCGCGCCAAAAGCTGATCCGGTTCTGTTGAAACCAAGCATTTGAAATGCTCGTTGAAATCCACTCTCCGAACTCGGTATCCTTCCGGGTCACTTGATGTCTCGATTTCGCACACTCGGGGGCAGGAAATCGAAGATTGCTGGATATGCCGGTCATCTTCCTTCACGGATCCCATCGCGTGTGCGTGAACGAAGTTTGACGGACGTTGACGTCTCTCCGTTGTTGTCAGTCAGCCATCCATCCGTTCGGTGGTCTTCTGTCCGTTCGTTCGTTCGGTCGTTCATTCGTCCCGTTTGGACCCTTTCCTCCGGCTTGAGTACCTCACTCTTTCGATGTCGCTGCGGCTGTCGATGCTGCTCATGATCTGAAGGCTGCTACTGATGCTTTTTCACGCTGTCTCCATCTTCTGGCTCCCCGGATCGACTTCAATAGCGGGGAAAGGGAGACTTTACCAATCTGTCAAATCGGACCGGTGCTTCGACCCTTGCTTTCAAGACGGCGCGATCTCCTAGCGCTGGTCCCCGCCAAAACGCGCCACGCATACTGAGTGTCCTCGACTCGGACATTGAAGAAACTTTTTCGAGCCGGATGGGGACGCCCTCCCGCGACCAGCCGCTCGCCACGAGAGAATTGAAGTAATTTCGAGTAATATCTTTGAATGGGTCTGTTTAGGAATATACGTCTTCTCCCTTTCGCAGAGAAGTACCGACCTAGGAAATCTTATCGAGCCGATGCGGCTGAGCTGATTCGCAGATCCTGGAGACCCATCCGACGTGCATTTCCATCCTGAGATGTCATTGGAGTTCTCACGTGTGGAAACGAGCCGATGGATTCCACGCATCTTACGTTTGTCCAGCTTCCACAGCTCGGTGTCCAGAAGTCGCAAACGAGCTGAACAAAAGCAACGACTCTTGCGCCGGAGAAGTTTTCTTTCGTTTCGCTCAGCGGTGAGAAATTCAATGGATAGCTGAGCTGATCTCCGCGGACAAAAATCGCGACCAAACCATAAGGAATATCGTTTGTGCCCAGAAAGAAGCGAAATGGGGGCAGTCACCCTCACGACAACGACGGCGACTACTTCTCCGTTGTCGCTACTGCGGCGCGTCGAAGTCGACGCGACGTCTGCCGATCGCTACATTCTGAATCAACTCCGGTGATTGAGACAAGAACGCTCGCACACTAGTTCTGTGAACCAGAATGAGATTCGTTACATTCAGTTCTCGCGTGGAAAATCATCTGTCAAAGAAGTCCTGCAGGTTTGATGAATTTTCACGAGCTCTCTCGCTCTCTCTTCGAGTTCCCTCGTATAACTGATGCAGAACCCAGTGGCCGAGGAAAGCTACATGCTTTCGGGATCGGGAATTGAGGCTCATGGGCTTGGACTCTTGAATGAACTCCGACGCGATGTCCCTGATGACTGATTAGAGTTCATTCTGAGTGCCTTGTCAGACGCCATAGCGCCTATCGCGGAACTTCCTGATCTCGCTCGAACCCAGCGAATGCATCCCAACAGCGAATCTGTCTACGAACGATAGAGAGAGGGCACACCCGGATATCGAGAAACCACGCTGGACTTCTCGGAGCAGGTCGCGGGTCCATGCATCCGCCCAGTGACTAGAGAAAGCGAATTCTACGCCTTGGGTTGATCACTCCGCCTCCTGTCGAAACATATCGGGGGCTGCAACTCCGAGAAAAGGCATTCAACTCCTCAAGTCATGGAGGTCGTGGCACAAGAGAAGCAGCAGCAGCAGCTTCCAACACCAGCGATTCCCGGGCATTAGCATTCGGGAGATACGCGCATCCGGGTCCAGATGAGAGCCGCCTGGATGATATCCCCCTAATTAAGGAGCTCGGAGCTTGAGAGAAGCATTCCCGTCAGAGTGATTCGAATCGCATTGAGCGCGTTAAGACGTTCAAAAATTTCCATGAGATGGCCATCGGATGGTGTGGAAATGCTTTCGATCCGTGGTCCATTCCAAGTCTCATTTACGGAGCCGTCGCTGTGAGAATTATTTTCACTTGAAGAAGCTCTACTTATTATGTAGCTTGGAAGAGCTTCCTTCATGCACGCCATGGGTGCGTGCGTACCGGATACCGTCGAGGGCGCCCGAGTGTGGGTGCGTGCTGCGTACCCGATGCTTCGTTGGTGGGTATCTAATACTTTCCTTGACTCTTGGAACTTCCAGCTGTCCTTAGGTAACCGATCGGGATCCAATCAGCTTTTTCGGTGAGACAATATCACCTTCAGCCAGCTCTGGGCATAGGAAATAATCCGTGCTCGAAGTTCCGGCGATACGAGCTCTCGACACAATGTGCCGCGCAGGATCCTCAGGGGCATTCAGCCTTGGGCTGAAGCGCAGGGCCCACATCCGTCGCTTTCGGAGATCTCAGCCGGAGAGGCGCCTTGCCATTCACGAGATCGAGAGCGTCAGCCCGGGATGAGCCCGATCTAGTACAGCTGATGGGCAATCCCATGGAGATACTAGATCTGACACTTATAGGCAATTCGATGTTCACCTGGACCGAATATATGTAGGTAATGACGGCATCCCGGAGGTGGCACTCGCAGAATGCGCATCGGAATCCCCAGAAAGCAGAAGAATCGTCCACCCCAGAGGCTGAGTGAATGTGGAGAGTGAATTTTGATTATGTCCTCTTCGATGACGCCGATTCAGACCTAGATATAAGCTCGGATTTGAGAGCGATTCCTCCCCCAATGCTGATAGTCGACCGCGAGAACCAGACTACTGGAATCAACATCGATGCAAATGTTTCTCTGCAGGAGAATGTTCCCGTTGCTCGCAGTTTGGCTCTTTTCTTCCGTCGTATTCGCGGACGCTCACAGTAAGGATTTTTATTTTGTTTCGAAAGACGCAGCGTTCAGGCTCTCTCTCTGATTCCGAAGTACTACCGGATCTCACTGAAGGGCGACGAGATGACAGCTTTCGGTTCCCCTATCTCAGGAATCTCGTGCTACTATCGTTACGATCATCGGGTATCCTCCCTCGATGATGATACACTCCGAAAAGTGGGCTGCTCACATATTATAGTTGGATTCGCTACCGTTAGCGCTGATTCCAAAGTCAACCTAAGCGATGTCGGTGGGGAGGATGGTCTACGGGGGTGAGTTCATATGAAAGAATCGAGATCCGGAATCCGAGAGCGAATTTTCAGAAGTATCGTTTTTCGATATCACCACATTCCTGCAGACTCGTACGTGAAATTAAAACGCCAAAGCGGAGAGTCATGCTCTCAATCGGTGGTGGAGGAGGAGACCGCAACTTCGACGAAATGAGCAGTAAGCTCGTGAATCTCAAAAGGTAGGAAGCCTTTGTAGAGAGCCCGACGGGGGGAATATTCGTCTATATTTGATTTGAATTTGTTGAAAAAGAAACACAGACTGTCGATATGAGCCCTAGAATATTATTTTCTTTCTCCATCCGAAGCTTCCTAGCATCTCTGGTCGAGATTGTTCGTTTTACCGGGCTCGATGGTGTGGATTACGATTGGGAGTTCCCCTCATTCCATCAACAAGATGATCTCAACCGTTTACTGCGGGAAACGCGACATGTATTCGACAATTTGACGGCTGAAGAGTCATCCGCAGATGTCAAACGTCTCGATCTCAGCGTCGCCTTACCCGGTCCGGTGACACTCACCGCTGCCTACAACGCTAGCGTTCTCAAAGAGTCAGTATGGAGTCAATAGGCTCGATAATGAATTCATTCTCATATCAGTCTTATTGGGTGCCATCGTTCGCACCGCCCTGGGCGTCCTTGTCGATATTCGTCCCCGTCTGATTCGCATTCCTTCCAGAACTTGCACGTTCTTCAACGTGATGACCTATGACCTAGCCCTATACAGCAGCTGGCATCCAATAGCTACTTTCCATAACGCTCTCTATGGTCAGGGCAGTTTTCTGAGTCCCTTGAGGCTCTTCTCGGTGTCGACCTCGATGAGGAACTGGGTCAATCTCGGACTTCCAGCCAGCATGCTCCTACTCGGTAATGTCAAACAACATCATTTGCCTGGATTGTCCCGGAATTAATCGCATTTCCCACGGTCTAGACCCGCTCGACATCCCCAACTCAATCTCCAGCTTTTTGTTCACTCGCTTGGATTGATTTTAGGAATTCCAACCTACGGGGTCGCATACGAGCTGAGTGACCCGCTCAGAACGTCACCCTTGGCCCCCATAAAAGGATATTCCCGATTGGGTGCCAATCTCAACTACGATGAGGTAAGTGTCGCATTCTAACTTCGTCCGTTCTTTCGTAAGATCTCAAGTCGAAAAATCAATTTATCCGCTCAGATTTTCGTCCTCACCGCTCCGAACCTCCTGCGAACCATTTCAGATCTGCCGGATTACCACGCAATATCCTGAGGGGAACCACTTTGATGAGCGGTCGAGGGTGCCCTATGCGAGCGATGGAAATGGAACATGGATTTCGTATGACAATATTCGAAGCGTGGTAGAGAAGGTGAGATCTTTGGGATTCCGTCGCTAAATCGCATTATTCTATCCGGGACTATCAATACGGGAAAGGAATCGGAATCTTGAAGATGATCCCTCGCTGACATCCCCAGGTCGAGTTCGCGACGAGAGAAGGCTTCGGGGGAATCATGATATTCAGTCTGAACGCTGACGATCCTTTCGGCAATTGCGCTCTGAATTGCTCCGACGGATTGGAAGATTGTCTAGTCCAGGCTAGTGACCGCTCAAACGGTTTCCCCCTGAGTCAAGTCGCCATCGCCACGCTGGAGGAATCCCCGAATGGATCCCGGTGAAAGTTGATGAAAGGGGGAAGCTCTTCCGATTCAATAAACAGACAGCCTGCTGATTGAGTGTCCCCATTTAAAAGGTGTCTCATTGGAAAGAAAACTCGAGCGAATCGCAAGAGAGTCGTAGCTCATTAGTACATAGATAGCATTGTCAGAGCAGGGATCACAGGCGCCAGACGCCTGGACCATTCGTAGTTCGAGGAGCGCGTCATTTTAGGCTTAGGACGCTCCTTTCCGAACAGTAGCAAACATTCACTCCGGACCGGACGGAGGTCGAACTGAAACACATGACTCCTCCGTTTTAAGTCCGAGAGCATCGCTCCGGCGCTGTTCCTCATTGTGCGGGGGCGGCGGAAACATGCACTCCCTCGACCTCGACGGTTGAAGGTATTCGAATCACGTAGTCCAGATCCGAGCAACTCGAGGCTGTTCTCTCATCAGATCTCCATCAAGAAGACACCCAAAAGAGCGCGGAGGAGCAAAACATGACGACGCGAGTCGAGAGTTTGAGCAAAATGGACACTACGCAGCACGCTTTCATCGAATTCCTGGGGAGGACTCCAGAACCGATGCTCAGTTTATCTGGAAAGAGGGACTCGCGACTCATTTCTCAGTTGTTCAATGCCTGCATACAAGGTTCTCTCGAGGCATCCCCTGTCTGGAGACGAGCAAGACAGGGGACCAACGCCTGAGATGACGCCTTTCCTCCTTCCTAATCAATATGCGCGCGAAACCTCGTTCATGCCTTATCTAACGTAGAGACGGTGCTTCGGGAAGGAAATGCGCGAAACCCCGGAGCTTCTTCGAATTTCTGCCGAGGGAGCTTTTCTAGCTCATTCATGCGCTCGATTTGAAGGGGAAGGTCAGTGGGTAGGAGAGCATGGGCTCCCGCAGCAGTTTTGCCCGCCCCGACGAGAAGACGAAGATTGCGGCGGAGTCGGCGAGCGATCGATGGCGACGAGATCTCGGTCGTAAGACCGGGCGGGCGCTCCTCAACATTGCTGATGTGCCCCTCTCGAGGGTCGAAGCAACATCGAAGGTACTCGGCTCCGCTCAATTCGAATCAAACCCGCTCAGGCGTGGCTGGAAATTCAGCTTACAGCAACGCACCCTACACATATAGAGTGTTTCTAGAGAGCCCCATGATATGTCGGGGCTCATTTGGCTCTTCAGATTAGCTCTCCGTACATAATGATTTCGTTTCCGATTGAAAGGGGAAACAATAAGTCATCGACTCCCAGCGCGAATCCTCGAGAAGGCTACATTCGGACCCCTCCTGCTCGAAGTGAATTCTCCAGTTCATCATGTACGCTCGGTATTGGTCGCCTGAGCTAATTCGGCAGTAATTTTGAATTCGAAAATGAAGCCCGTTCCATCATGTGCGACAGAATAATTTGACGGCTGAAAGTAAAGATTTACGCAGAGGATGCTTTTCCCCAGTGAATTCCAGGATTTCTCGGCTATTCGGACGTCGACTTTCGAGGTGCACAACTATCGGAGCTCTAAAAGCATATTTTGACATCCTTGTCGCGCATCCTGTCTCTCCGTACGACATTCCCGGCAGACCGAAGGTGGGGACAGGGGCGAGATCGCCTCCGAACGGCCACCAGAAGTCAGCGAAGGACCGCCATTCTGAGTCCGACAACCGGAGAAACGGAGGACGACGAGGAACTTCATTATCCTTGCCACGGCACGCCTAATTCGCTTCATTCTTTTACGGCACGGATTATGCCAGCCACATGGGCATGCATAATGCCTCCGAACATCTCGGTCCAGCATGCTACGGCGATTCGCATATCCTCGTGAACCTATTCGAAGGCTCATCCGAATCATCCGCGCCGGAGATCATTCGCATCCGAAAGAGCTCGAGCGCACCGTCACAGAATAGCAAGGAATCAGAGCCATGTTTGATGAAACAATGCCTCAGGCAAGATTTTCGAGATATGATCGAAGTACCACTGTGGCGCAGCTTACCGCCCCGAGCGACGCCGACAGTATTCGACAATCGCGCACCAGTGGCCATCCTTCCGAGCGTTTGTCGATTCCGGTTCCGGCGCCCTCAGGTGGCCTCTGCTCCGAGGATCCGAGCGTAGAATATTTTCGAGGGTCACTCGATACGTTCGCATCGGAAATCCCCGACGAAAATCAGCGTCGGAGTCAGCAATTACGAAACCGACGTGAGGAGCGGTACCTACGTATTCTTCTAGAAGGAATTGCTATGTAATATCCGAGGACGTTCATCACTTCACGAACTCCGGTCCTGGCCGGCTGGCTAGCCAGTCACCGATATCGGGTCTGAGCCACTTCCTCGAGGATGAGGCTCATATCGATCTTGCAAGTCGATTCGCCCACGTAATGGAATTATAATTATTCGTCGAGGAGAGAGTCGGCTTGACACGGAGTCCTTGATCCGTCTTGAGAATTCTGGCGCGCTCTCTACAGGCGTCGACTTCTGAAGGATTCGAGAAACTTCAACGATGTACCAGGAGGACGGAGCGTGAACGACGGATCAGAATTCCGAAAAACGAAGCACAGGGATATAAAGCAGCCTCAGAGAGACCAATACCTGTTGATCGAGGCACATTCTCCGCACAAGAAGATTCGCCGGTCTTGGAGCGCCTCGTCATATCGGATGACCAGAAAATACTGAAATCAGCCTAGCGTCCCGATTTTAGACTAGACAACGACCAGCAGCCCTATAATTCTCAAAAGGAACTGCGCGTGCGAAAAGGGGGAGGGGGACTGAGGGAATGGTAGGAGGAGAAGGTGAAAGAGCCATAGGAAAAAATGCATTGACGCACTACCCAGAAGAGTGGGAAATTCAACTGGAGTGTGGGGCTCATATACATAATACCCACTAAAAAACCTATGGCTCTTTACCTGAAGGGAGAGAGCAGAGAGTGTTGGATTTGAAGAGTTTCGGATCATACGTTGGAGGGAAGACATGAAGAGAAGGGCATTCCATAGACGGGATAAGCGGGGGGAAATGTGCGGAGGAATCCTGTTTTCTGGGAAGCTGACTTGGCCATGTTTGCTATGTGATGGTGCCATTTAAGGTTTGATGAAAGGCACACGCCTAAAATAGAGATATTCGATGAAGGATGTAGCGTTTCGTTGTCGAAAGAGATGGACGAGCTTGGTTTTCTTCGTGGAAAGGGTAAGCTGCGTCTTCAGGGAGTTGAACCGAACCAAATTAGATAAGCCCCATTGCAAAATCTTCCGGAGATCGCAATCGATGGAGGAGAGCAAGGTGCTTCGTGAGGAATTTGTTTGAGTATAGGTCGGCTGCTTCGTGAAAGAGTAACCAGCATGGAGTGTACTGTCGTCGGCAAAGCTGTGTATGGGATTTGTGGTGGAGGCGAGAAGATCATTGATGTGCTACAGGAAGAGAGTGGGAGAGAGCACAGAGCCTTGGGGTACACCTGCGTTCATTGGGAATGATCTTGAGAGGGCACCATCGGCCATGACCTTAATAGAACGTTGACTAAGGAAGCTTGAAATCCAGTTGCAGAGATTTGGTTGGAGACCAAAGGGAGGGAGCTTATTGAGGAGAGCGGCATGCCAAACCCTGTCGAATGCCTTGGAAATGTCCAGAGCAACAGCAAGGGTCTCGCCATGTTTTTCAATAGCAGAGTTCCAAAGATGGGTGGTGTGGAGCAGAAGATCGCCCGTGGAGCGACCTTTTCGATCGATCTATCGTGAGAATTCACAACGTGAGCATATTCATTCTGCGAGATGATTCCGAAAGCGTCCCCACCGTCCCGAATTCGGCTCTTCATCGTCTGGCGCCACCACAGCTCAATCCGAAATCGCTCTGCAGACTCGTTCGATCATACGAGCGACTACAGTCTCCGAGAGATGAGCTGACTGTTCCGCATCTCCCTGAAAGATATTATTTCTCTGCTAGAACCTCTACGGTTTTCTCGGGTGAGGGGATCGCGGAGGTCGTACAACCAGCGCCTGGTTTTTCCTCAGTTTTTGGACTCCATTAGTCTTCCCACGCCGGTCTCGGAACGCAGCGGATGGATCCCCCCGCGGATTCCGCTTGTTGTCACGCCTCGGGTTTCCGCTCTCTCCATCCGTTCGAGCGGGCTCTTGGTTTTTTGCACGACGGGACTCTTGTCTTGATTGTCACCCTATGTAATAATGATAATTTATAATCATGACAGAAAACTCCGACGCTGTTCCTCTACTACCAGAGCAGTCCGCCGTCTTCTCCACGAAGCTCCATCCTTGGGACCTACTTTGAGACGGAGATCCGATGCGCGAAGCACAACTCACGGAACGCAGCTGACCCCCCAACCCTTACCCCCCCCCCGTTGCGGCCATACACATGTACAAGAAGCTTTTGGGGGTTGCATAGTCGCTTTGCAAGCCCGATTGATTGTTGCTCATCTTATAGCTTGATCAACTTTTGGCCTGGATATGGGTACGAGGAATCTCCAGGAGCCCTCCTCGGTTCCACAAAATGATGATTTGCAAGGATACTCACTAGAAAAGGATCCTTCCATGAAACAGAAAGAAAAAGAAGTCATGAAAAAGAAGTTCTGGCAGCTCCGTGCTCGGGCCAGGCCGATGGAGGAGCAGCAGTGTACTTGTCCAAAGCATCGTCGGCTTGCGAGGCTGCTCCGTCAGGAACGCCAGCGACCGGAAACGTGATCGGACTTCGGATGAACGCCTTAGGGAAACTCCTAAGTTTTGCTTTCTTGGTAAATGCCAGGTCTTCTTTGGCTCAGCGGCGCTTCCTACAATTTCTCAGCCGTCTCGCTGCGAAACGAGTGATGCTCTTACGAAGACGCGATCACGAGTGAGAGCAAGGTTCATCAATCGGAGCAGCGCCTTGGAAAGGAAATCATCCTGATTCCGCAGAGTTATTCAGGTATTGATCCTAGGAAATGGCAAGCCTTTGGCGCGTGCCATCTCTCTGTCGATCATCCCAATGAGTCTTCCGACGCCGACCATCTAAGTTCAGATCGAGTGGAGAAAAGAGAGGCGCCTCGACTCGGATCGTGAGATGATTTGTGCGTAGCCCGGGAATGCACGATGGCAAATTCTGGATTTTTGTGGGCGGCACGGATAAATTTTTGCAGGAGGACTCTCGCTCAACTTTGCGCCCGCTCGCGCACTCAGCACGTCTTAGCCGGACGTGACGCTCAGGACTTCTATAAAAACAAATGCGAGCACGACACCGCGTCACACTCCGCACATGGCGAACGGAAACGAATGTGGCGAAGGATATAAATGTTCTCCTAACCGAAAGAGCGTGTCTGAAACAGAGGTTCGCTCCAGGAGCCTATGAGCGAACGATTCCTCCTAAGGGAAGAGAGTTTCCTTGAGCCGAAACCGAGAATGCACACTTCGAGAATGAGGAATACCGAATCCGTACACTCGCGAACACGAGCTCGCGGCTCCAAACACTGTGTGTATGGCACGAAGGATCTGCTTCGGATTCTCCCTGATGAGCTACTCCCATTCCGTGGGTCGTTGTCGTCGTTGGGTCCGTGCTCCGTCAGACCGCCTCCCATTCACGATGCACGATGACGAGAAAGGGTCTTGCGCTTCTCCAATGGGGACGATGAAACGCCGCGTCGCTACAAAACAAGGCCAATCCGAATCATTCATGCCCCGTAGGGGATATTTGGTAGGTCACAAACATGCGGAGAAACCCCAGAAAAAATTATTTAACTCGTCGTTCGGCGCACCCTTGAGGAGATTCAGGATAGCCGGGATCCCGCTCGCGATGACGGAAGCTTCGAGGAATCACGTTCCTCGACAGCTCGGGTCACTTCCAGAGCCTCGAACGGCCGTGGTTCCGGAGAACCGAGGCGGAATGTTCCGGTCATTTCAGAAAAGAAGACTCTCCATCATCACCAGGAGGTCTCTACCTCGTTTCATATTTTTTACAATCACTAACATACTTCCGAAAATACAAAGTTCGCATCTGGACAGATCTATAATACAAATCCCGTTCGATGCGTCGACGAGATGAAGTTTGGTACAAAAGCGGACATCCGGCGAGGATTCGTGTCGTACGAGGATCAATCGACCATCGAAGATGAGAGTTGGATCACGAATCTAAAGTTTTATGACATCTTGATCCTTCGCCGCAGCTCGCTGGTTGAGTATCGCCGGAACGGAACCATACAGTGTTCTTGATCGGTTCCTCGAACTCAATCATTGGTCAAATGTTATTCCACAGCGTGGAGTTTGATGCCTCGACCAAGTTTTCCAGCCCTAATCAACAGGGGGAGGCGAACTCGGAAGTGGAGGTGGTTCATCGATCTGAATCCGGGTGGTGGTTGCCTCTTTGATGTTCTGCTTCACGGATTCTTCGACTTCGACCCCGCATAAATCTGACGCGGATGTTTCTCTTGATGGTGATGACGTCATATCCGCTACGTCATCGACTGTTGTTCGCGGACGAACAGAACTATCCGTTCTGATCGGCGCTTGCGGCGGCGGAGACGTTGACGGCTCCGGTGGGAATATCGGATGTGATTTTATGGCGTCGTCATACGAGGGTGGGAAATCGCCTCTGGACAGCGCGTAAATATCGTCTTCCGGACCCCTCTGCTGGAACGAAACGTTCGAAATCTCATTGGAAGAAGATATCAGAGTTCTATCGTGTACTGTTTTCGAACGCGAGAATCGACGTCGACTTTCAAATAATTATTGACGACGAGAATTCATTCTGAAGAGCCTTGTCGCCGTATATATTGCCGGGAGACAAACTCATTATCTTTCCTCTCGAGTATAGGTCGCACTCCAGAATTCGAGCATTCAGTCATGGAATAGAATCACTCGCGAACATTCGCTGCCGCAACGACGCGGCGGAGACTGAGACTGGCGAGGCGATGGAGAGAGACTCGCGCAGCAACTGGACGAAAGTGTCCGAGTTTCCTCTTACAGAATTTTTGTCAATCACTGACCTGTTCGCTTTCGAGTCCATCGTTGATTCGACCCCTCATCTCGGCTCGACTCCGCTCGACCACAGCATTCAGTTTTCGGATATAGCAGAATCTCCATATGATCACAATGAGCCAAAACAGTAAATTCAGGACTAGTATTATCACCAAGGCCCTGGAATAGATTAGCATATTTGAAAGCCCGCCACTATTCCCAAACATTGAGGATTGTATCGTGTCTGGTGCGTAGCAGCCACATGGGAGAGCAAGCGGCGACATCGATTCCGAACACAAGCTCTTGACCGCACGTATGCCGGATGCGATGCGTCAAAATCCTGCCGCGTTTAGAGTGCTGCCTATCATCATCTATGTTTTCATCCGACCGCACTGAATTTTGGAGCCATTAAGGGTATGGGAGATGTCGCTCCCGAGAGCCACAAGATGGACAATCGGAGATAACGAACGTTGGACCGGATTTCATGGCAGCCTATCGGAGTTTTCACTCTCTCGCCTGATCTACGGTTCGGAGCCGAGCAACCCGAGGTCCAAGCTTCTTAACACCATCGGAGCCTGGAATTCGGTCGACCTTATTGAACCGATCCATATTGCAGAGCTATGATAAGCATCATCTATACCTAGTTCCTTTTCAGTGTCCAATCGGCTTCGAAATCGTTTCGAAGAGTTTTCGAGCGGAACTCCGATAACTCCCGTGGAGTCTAAATTCTGCCTCCAAACGGTTTCGCTCTTAAGTTCCATCGACATCGTCAGCAAGAATCCACTTTGGAAGAACCCTTCAGTGTGGGAAACTCAACTTTCACTCGAGTAATCGGCGAACTTTTACAAGATCCCGAGAAAGATTTCGCGGAACGTCGCCGCCTGGGACATTAATTTACGGAACCCTAAAAGGTCTGCAGAGGCCAACGCCTGCTCCTTCTCGTCGTTGACGCCGCGGCCCTGACGTCTCTCGTCTCGGAAACGAAATACGGGTTTTGTGTTTGATTTGCCGCTAAAGCGATCCCTCGGCAAACTGTTAACACAAGATTCAGTGCGTATTAAGGGATTTTCAGGAGCTCCTCATATCGCCCGACATAGTTTTCGATAAGATTTTGAGGTCACCGAGGGAATTTACGCTATTCGATTGCTGTTCACGGGTAGCTGTCTTAATTGCAGGGGACTTCCCCTCATGACGCGAAGATCTCGCATTTATTATCGATAACGCGGCCATCGAAATCATTGCCCGACCGGGATACGACCTCGATGAGACAATTTCGGCCGCCGCGAACCATTCCCGTGGCCTCTATTGCGTACGCTAAACGCTCCAATTTTCCCGGCTAGGATTTACAGTCGTACCGGATTCGGTGTCCTTTGCCTGATTTTCCATCGCCAATCGCAATAATATTTTGCGTGATTCCCGGGACATGAAGGGAGGACCCTTGTCACGGATGAACTCTCGATTGGGTGTGAGCGTAGCACTGAGCTTCACCGCAAATGTTTCGCGAGACGCCGTGGATTCACTCTCGGGCAATGGTCACTTGTTCATTCCCTGGGGGTTCGTTCCGGCATCGCCGTGAATTTCTCGCTGATGAATTTCACAATCGATCGAGAAAGGAGTTATTTGTATGATCGAACTCGCCAAGGGGGACGATAGGCTCTAATCTATGCAGTTCTGCTCTAGCTCCTCCAGCTCCTCTACGAATTCGAAGAGAATCTTCAACATGGAGTCCGGTCAAAATTCACCCGATTCGAGGAAGTATCCAGACACTGTCCTTGTCGTCCAATCAGAGCACATACATTTGATAAGAGTTCATTTCGAATCCGGACTCGGAAAAATTGGGTCCCGACGCCATGTTTTTTCGGGGAGACCAATTGAAGTCTGCTGGAGAAGACCGGCAAACTGGCGCGGCGAGCCAGCCAAGCAGACCGATTTGGCAACTCGTGACGCCCTCCGATAACGAACACTAAGTCCTATTGTTCCCAATGACACTGTGGCGAGAGCGTGCTTTCGCAGTAGGAGAGCAAGCGGCCGACGTTGTTTTTATGTGGAACCATGGTGAGCGGGCTCCTCCCAACATCTCCGAGTCGATACTTGGTCCAATGTCGAGCGTCAACACCGGAGCAGTATTTTCCCCTCATCGAGAGACACGCGGGGCTTCCTCGTTGTCACGTGTGGACCTCATTGATTCAGCAACTGACACCCGGAACCAAGTGGAGAGAGTTCCCGGATCCGCGTGACTGAGCGGAGAGCGTCGAGACAAGTAGACGCTCTCGCTCTCTCTCTCAGCATCGTAAGGAACTTTTTGCGCTCAAGATTCCCAAGATCCTGTTCCAGACCCATCAACGTTCTCCGAAACCTTGCGCGGCAATACTGGAGCAGATTTTTTTTCCCTGATCGACATGACTTGAGTAATCGAGAGCACGGACCGAATCACACGGCCCTCGTAGACTTCCTGAGCCCGAAATCGACCTTACTCAATTGTTTTTGGACCAGCCAATAGTCGGCTGGAGATACTCACTGCTCAGCGATTTTTCCTGATTCGAAATCCCAAGGGCTTTCGAAAAAGTTCACAGCCATCCCAACGTGGCGAGCCGCATAACACACAGATTCTTGAGAACTCACTCAGCCATTCATCCTAGTGGTCGTTGAATATTCTCCGGCACACCTTGGCTCCACGATCTCTAGCAGCGGTTTCTGTTCGTAGGGTGTTGAATATTGTCGGGCCCACTCCTGGTCTCGCCAGTTGACCAGAGGCTCGGTGTCCGTCTTTCAGTCACTCAAGAATCATGCTCCGTCCAACCGCCCGGGAGTTTGTACGCCCGCTTGTACGCCAGCGCCGCATGCTCTCACGGCAGTCGAACAGAAGGATTTTGCAGGTATTCTGCCAGCGTTCCGACGCGTGTGCCTACAAGCTGCCAGACGGTCTACCTGCTCGACTGGAGAACTCGCTCTCCATCCATCCGGCCTGTCGGATGGCTGAGTGATTGGTTGCTTGCCTCCCGATGTCCTTTCTGAGCGGAACGTCACCGTATTTTGACGGCAAATGCTCCTCAGCCGACGGTGAATCAGACGGCCGCGCGGCCCGGCGGCGCGCGCACGAACCTGTGGATCGAAGGACGACTCAGCCGGCGTTCGCCTCTCAGTCAGGGATTACATGCGAGGAGTTTGAGCTTTATCCAGAGGGATACCAAGCGGCGGCTGGTGGCGTTCTTGGACAGCTGTAGAGATGTGCTCCCGAGGTCGGATTCCATCGCGAGACACTGCGGAATCAACGTCCGATGTGGAATCATCCACGGGTACTGCGAATCATTGGGTTATATCGAGAGGAGCGGCTGCTTCGGCAACCTCCGCCCCCCCGTCCCGCGAAATAAAACGTAGAATCTCGAAACACTGTCCAGACATAGGGCCGTGTGCGAGGGACGCATCGCCGAAGATTCAGAACTTTCAGCCAGTCATGATCCGAGGGACACGAGGGCATCGTCGCGTTCCGTATCACATCGAGTTCTCGGACATAAGAACACTCCAAACCACTTGGTCCCCAGGTGCGAGAGCTGTTCATGAGCCAGGCGGGCGCGTTTTCACTCAGACATGAAACTCATATGATGAACAGACTCGCAGGAGCATACGTCAGGGTAGCGTATTGTTTCTCATCTGAATATCTTCATGGCCGTCGCAAGTTGTCTCGGCGAAAAGTTTCGCTCCGCTTCTTTCATATGCACGACGCTATCTCTCGAGCAAATTAATGAAAATGAAGAGCTGCAACAAAGCCCCTGCTCGTCTCTCGCAGAAAAAAAGAAGACGCTTCCATTGGCTGCGAAGCGGACACAACCACCATTTTTAGCCGAGTCACGTGGTCGACGAATCGGAATGATATCAGAACGTTGAGCGAACCTGAGCAGGACAGCCTCATTGTTCGTTCCGCTGCAGTCGTGTCTGACGGAAAGCGAGATGCCCCGCAGCGAAATTCATCTCTCCCGAACGGCCATCTCATGACTAAGCGGGAAATTTCTGAGGCATCTCCTGCGACAGTCAATGATGGCTGTGATTGACAGTTTTAATTATTACAGCAGCACATTGAGGCAGATGACTGGGTCAGAAACGTGGCTTCCGGTCGTCCGCCTGGAACGCATGCGCTCGGAGCGAGCAGAGCCGTGGTCTCCTCCTGTGAGAAGAGGCGAGATCGAGGATTCACTCGCGCGACGGCCAGTTCCGCGAGACGCGGTCATACGATTGCAGCGATAACTACGGGCTATCAAGAAGCTTTTATGCCAGCGCAAGGGCCCGAGTCGGGCTTCCGCCGCCTCATTGGAGAACTCCCTCCGCCCGAGGATGGCTATGAGGCCTTCAGCTGAATACTTATTAGAAAACATGCTCTCGAAAAGATAAGTGGTCTCGCCACGCGAAACTGGCGGAGGGCTAATCCCTGTTTTGATGATCCCCTCCTGAGAGGATCTTTCCGAGAGAGGAATTATTCACCCGAACTCCTCTTTGACCCACAGAAATAAGTCCGACAGAGACGTGCGTCGACGACAGGCTTAAGCTGTCGGCGATGGAAGGATCCCGTCTGTTGCAAAGTGCTCTATTCAACTGGCAAATCGTTCTGCCTGGATTCTTCCTCTACATTGCGATACAATACGTCGTATTCAAAGGTTTCTTATGGAAACAGAAAAGATTACCGCCCGGCGTTCACGGCTGTCCCGGTCTAGGAATTCTACCAGAACTGGCATTCGGTAAAAAGAAACTCCGCGAGCTACTGATGGTCTACGAGAGCCTCCACGGCGAGATCTTCAGGTAATCATACCACGGTCCGTCAGATTCCACAATGGGGATCCTCCCTGTCCCCCGCTGTTTGTCTGCTTTCCCCTGTTGTAGAATCTCTATGTACGCCCATAGAGGAGGGGTACATGCCTCCTCACAACGATGCTACATCGTTCGGAACTAAGCCCCTTTCCCTTGTTGAATTATTCAGATTATCCATGGGTCTCCAGGAGATATACATGCTACAAGGAGCCGGAGCCGTCCGAAATGCCCTAAAGGATCCGTATTTGACCGGTTGGCCCGTAGCGGCTCGACGATCCCTCAGCGGCAACCCTATCGACTGGACGCGAGTGCAGGATGACATCAGGGCACTTCTGGGTGAGAAAGACACCGTCTGTCCAAATCGATCGAGTCACCGTCGCGTCGCGAACTCTGAATTACTTCTCCAGGGCCGATGGAGTTTTTTTATGCCCTCGGAATAAGTCCGAGTACTCCTTGAGCACTCCTCCCATCACAGTTCGATCCGCGTAACCGACATTAGAGTTCCCTCGTAAGGCCTCGAGAGACCTGTGTAAAACTCGGCATCGATTTTATTTTCTGATGATATTCTCCGAAACTATCGATGGAGGGACGAGACATTCTCTCATGGTATTTCAGAGAAAGGCGACCCGTGCTCGAGATTCCGCTTTGGTGAAGACGAGCTCGACACGTGTGCATCCTTCGATGGCGATGCGAAATATCTCCGGAAGACGAATTCGACGATTCTCCAGGTACGTGTTCTCACACCTCCCGATTCACTGATGACTCAATTGGACTATTCCATGTTACCGAGGCAAATTGTCCTTCGCAGTGCTGTACCTCAATGAAGGCTGGAATCGCAGACAGGTTCGAGCTGCTGACCCATGATATTGGTCAGCTGGTGATGCCAGAGGTCGACGAACAGAAAGTCAGGGACAAGACTTCAGAGAGCCGTCGATTCAACGGTAAAACTACGCCTTTGATAGATTGCGAGACTGCATATCTATATGTACAGAGGGATGGTGAGCTTGCGCTCATTGACCCCTCATCTGCATCAGATTTCACCTCATGGGCATCGGGCTGTTGCAGATGACATCGCCGAAGATGCCGCACTGTCATTCTTCCCGCAAGGGAGACCAGAGAAAGTGCTGACCGTAATCAAGGAGCGCATGACCCCCGATTTTCGGAAGCAGATAAGGAGGGAACTCGATGCTCTTCCGAGCCAGCCTTATTGGAAGGACAGCCATCGGATGCCGACTTTGATGAGGCTCATATCAGATGCCTTCCTGGAAGCTCACAGAGACTTCTACCTGATACGGAGGTAGGGGATCGGATCTTTAGGTCTCTGCGGAATCGACTCAGAATTAGATTCTCATTCAATCAGTAAAGAGTACACCGTCCAACTGGTGGCTCCCGCAGGTGCACGCGAGATTCGAAATTGCTCGGATACGACATACCGAAAGACGCCGTCCTGGTTTTCAATTTGAGAGCGATTCCGACCGGGAAGAACTCAGAAGAGGAGAATGATCTCATGGGCTGGCCCTTCGAATTGGGCGACAGGATATCTCCTTTCGAAATGGCAGCTCTTCTGCAGATTTTCTACGCCACTATCGCTTTCGTTCGGACGGAACGCTGACACTTGACCCTCTACTCCGGCGATCCAAGCAACAAGGGTCGAGCGATGATATTTCCCCTCACATGATGATATCACCGCCAGAACCGATTCCAACACGAGGACAGGCCGGGGCTGGTACCCGAACATTCGCGAGTTGTACAGATATTGTTCGGAGAAAACTCGTACAATTAAGCCTGCTGATCGAGTCTCATGCCTGAGAAGTCCGAAGTTTTGCTGGTCATCGACCCCAGTGGTGTCTCTGCATTGTCACCGAATTTCCGGTAGCATCATGAATCCTGACTCGTTGAGTCGGTCCGGGGTCAAGTTTCCAGTTTCCCCTCGTCACGAGATAGTGGATGATCATGGGAGGGGGTTCGTTCGAGCGTTCTCTAGGCCTCTTCCGAATATCTTATGAGACTCTCCCGCGATAATGGAGGTTTCACCACGACGCAGTCGCAATTTTGTGTTTTTTTCTCCTCGAAGGAGGCCTTGCTCCCCTCCACAGAATGAGCCGCAGCGTCGTCCGAAGCTTCCGCATGGGTTCTGATGGGGACCATCTCAACGGGATTAGGAATTGGAGCTCCAGACCCACGACGGGCTGCCTACGGCAACCTTCATATTCCTTTTCGACTTATCTCTCTTAAATTATGAATACCAAATAGCCATGTCTTCATTTCAAAATAGTTGGGTGGACAATACTCGTCGTCCGGATTGACGTGAAGTTCTCGTCTAGAGCCATATTGGACATCGATGCATGTAAGTGAGTTGAGTTGGAGCTGGGAGCCAAGACAGGAATGAAGATGGAAAATTCGGATTCTCAATCCTGAGCATTCCGAGAGGCGCTGCCGGATTCTCCGGGTTTTCCCATTTTAGAACTACGAATTGCGGGCTCGTGCGAGGTCGTGGTGTGCCACAGGCTCTTCTTGAGTAATGAGCGGAGACGTAGACGGAGTGAGACCTGACGTATCCTGACATTTGGCTATCACTGTGGGCAACACATTCGACTTTTTTCTTTGTTCCATGGGCTCGAAGTAATGAGATGGGGGTTTGAAAGAGGAATTCAAACTCTAGATTTGCATTTCTTTGTACTGCACAGCGCTCCGATGATCAAAGCCGTGCAGACTACCGCCGGAAAGACAGACAGACAGGCAGTCAAAGCAGCGGGCGGGGGAGCTCAAGGAAGCAGTCTGGTGGCAGACCCTGTTTGTCGATCTTCCGGCTTTAATGGAACGGCCTAAGCATTTCCGCAACCTAGCTCGGCTCTGAGGCGCACCTCGATGGTTCGAATCGCTAGCATAACGGAGACACTTCGAGCTCTTTGTGGAAGTCTGATTGATTGACTGATTGCTTCATCAGTTTTGCTTATTCCTTCCAAAACAAGAGGGGGCGGAATCCATGGGCATAGACGTCGTGTGTTGACAAGGTTGAGGAAGTTTGAGCATCTGGGGATCCCGAAACGTCACGGGAGTAAAACTCGTCATTGATAGATCGTTGAGATGTCGCCAGTGAGCGAAAATGAAGATGAGCCAACTGATCCTCTGTTCACGTAACTGAGCAGCCCTCGATCCTCCTCGTTTCTTGCTCCGATTTATGCCCGCGATCACACCTTTTTTGCGATTTCCCCGACGAGAGCGGAGGAGGAGAAAGAAAAATTCCAACAGAGGATGCTTTCCCGTTTTTTTGCTGGATGACCCTGGTGAGCAACGGGGGCTTCGAAATGGAAGTCTGGGTATCGATAGATCTAAGTGAGAGGAAACACCACTTGAATATTTCAAACAAGTGCTCGCCTATTTTGAGAAAAGGAGATAGGATTCGTGGTCAGGTCGATCAAACAGCTCCCGCAGATCGGAACCCGACATGATTTTCATGGTTGCCTTCGCTGTGAGTCTCATACCGCAATCTACGCAGATTTCGCCCGCAAAACCCCCGGATTACTACTGGCAACACGTAGAGCCGAACGAGCCTGTACCGAGCAACGCCATAACAGGTGGGATAATCCTCGAAGCGGACAGCAATGACCCTGGATTGAATGTGTTCGTAGCCCGCAAAAAAATCAAAGGCTTGAACCGCGTCGGAAAACTCTACGACCCGGTTAAGACCGGCAAATGGCTTTCGTTCTTCCTGATCGACGGAGCCGAACAGGCGCTGGCAAACGAGTCTCTGGAAGTGAGTAAAAGCTTCGCGTTCCTGGCCGCTTCTGGAGAGCGCTAGAGTCAGTGAGGAGAATATATGAGGTCGCGCAATCATTGCGTGGAGCGCTCTGCCGAACGGAATTTCACTGAATGGGCATTCCACCGACTCAGGATGTAGAGCTCTGTCGGAGTCTCGGAGCGTCTGATCGTTCTGAAGTATTATTTCACGGATAGGTTCTCGTGTCATCTGTACCCGATCTTATGCGGTGGATGCCGACATCTGGCGGAGTTATCCCACGTAAGGCTGTATACTTCTCGAACGACGCAGGCACCCGTCGTTATATTTGCAGAGGCATCATGAAAGGCACCCCAGAGAAAGCATTGGTGGTTGTACCTGGCGAAGCCACAATCGACTTGGGATGGTGTCAAACCTTCTGGTACACCCGAGGCATTCACATGGAGTATCAGGTGGGGATTATCGATCTTTTTTTTTCCGGGGCATTCGGGGCTCAGACTTCAGTGGAAATCATAGGTCTAGACTGGTCTGCGCCGTACTTCGACCAAAGTTGGAGCTCATCGTATCGATGCCAACAGGTGCTGGTGAAACTCGAGGGTGACGACACTTGTTAAAATCGTCTAGAGAGGCCAGAAGGCTCTTCCCCCCGAGGAGGCGGTGCTGCGAAGCTCTCCTGCGAGTATTTTACTCCATCTGGTCGGTGGGCTCGGCGGACGGCTATCATGGAAAACTGGAAGATTTCTTCGAAAGCTCTCCTAGGGGATTCCGAAGTCGAATTCTGTTTATATCAAACGGATGAAAGGGTTGCTCGATATCTGAGCGCTCATAGTCCCTAGCATAGAAAAATATCAAGCGGAGTGCTTTGAGAAGATAGTCCATCATGTATTCATTGTGCGAGAACCCAATAGAGAGTCGGAGAATTAAATCCGATGCCAGGCTTTACGGAGTGGTTCGCATCCGGCGAGTAGCTCTTGGTGATTTCCTTTATTTGCATCCTAAGGGGACGGGCCGGACAATATCTTGACACGATCATGATTCGGAAAACCTAGAGGGCGTCGGTGAGGCGTCTCTGCCATAGGCGATCTGTGGGTAGATAGCTGCTCTGTGGTGCTACCAGGGCCGTCGACTGCAGATGTGCAATTTTCATCTCTTTTTCCTTTGAGCGAGCAAGCGTCATCAACAGCGAGTCGTATTTTGGTTCGACGGTACCACGTAGCTAAGAGAGGATGAATAGGACGATTCGCGTGGTCGGTCTCTGCTTGGGGACCGGAGGCAGGGTGCTGGCTTTCCGAGAAAATGAAGTTCATCGGCTCTCTCGAATGAAAGTGGGCTGTTTTTGTGCTACGCTGTCTCGCCCGAGCTCCGGAGTGTCTTGTGGAAAACAAACCTCCGGTGGATGACGTTTTCGTGTCGTTGAAAACACTTGTGCAGCGTGTCCATAGTCTCTCTCAGAGAGGAGCATGCTTTGTTCTTCGATGTATGGGTAATATCTCCCGCAAACACTTTGCCCAGTCCGAGGCTCCTCGGAAGCTCACGATTCGCCTCTCCGAGGGCCACTCGGAATGTTGCCATCTGAAGATTTGGCTCCTTCGCGTACACCTTCTCGAGTGGGCAAATATCCTTCCAGCCCTCCTTGAAACTGATCCACCTCTCCCAATCATATTCTCCAGCGATGACTCGCATCTGTGGGGGCCTGCCAGCTTGTGAGCCAGTCGTCTTGGAGCTCGGTTCCGGAACATTCGTCGACTGCGCCATATTGTAAGCCTAGAGATTGAAGACAGCGTGACTCTTAGGAAGATGACTGGCCGCAGACTGGCGCCTGACGGTGTCATGTTTATTATCGTACCGCGCGGACGCGATTATCCAAAGTAATGCGCGGGCTCCCAACAGACGGTGAGAAGACTCTTCATCGAGGCTTGAACGTTTGATCCTGTGCTATTAGATCAGGATTAAATATTCGGGCTGATGTCAGTAGTAGGGGATACGACATGCTACCCATGTCAAAACCTATGAGGGCTGTCTTCTTGTCTGGGAGCTCCTGATTTCTTCCGACAATGTGACTTAAAAATCTTCGGACCGTATTGTGAATCAGAATGTGTTCTCCGTCTCCGTTCTCTGCTTGTGATTTGTGATCTCTGGGGATGACTCAGAAGGCTTCGGAATCGAGAGGGGGCTAAAGCCAAGCATTTAGCCGTCGGGCATCTGGGAATCGGGCATATCTGGGAGTCGTGCATTTGGTACCTCACACTCTCACCAACGAATCACAATCCAAATCATTTCTATCGGAGCATAATGGGGTTCGCATTGGTGGCCAGTGAAGTCCTTAGAATTCCTCCTGGGGGAGGGGGCTAGATCGGGTCCTCGCTATTTCCAACATGGCGACCCGCTCCTACACCTTAGTAGTACGAACTCTCAATCTGAAAGGGGGCTATAGACCTGCAATGTGATCAACTTGTTGTCAAGCACGACTTTTTCGCTTTGGGAATCCGCTCCTATTGTGGCTTTGTATTGATTGGTGAATTCTTTACTCACGACCTGATTCGAGAGACATGTCTTCTCTACCTGAGGATAGATATGTGATATAAAGGGTCCTGGCACTACGGCACATCTATCAATCGGAAGGGAAAGTACTTTCACTAGATCTTTCGAGAACGTACCCGGAGTCACCGAGGACGATGCCCCTCAAGAGAACCTTCTTTCGCTTGGACATTTCGACCAGGGAGGATTCACTTCACTGATATTAAAGCGGGGAGTTACTCAAATTCTCCTACCTTTCCTACTGCTAGACATGGATCACATGACGGAACGATGATATGGACTATCAACGGCCCGATTGAATTGACGACCCGGGTATCGGCTAATACCAATGGGGGCTCAGCATTCAAAGCGAAAAGCTTAACTTCACCCGCCCTCCAGAAAAGCAGTGGCATGTGGCGCACAGTGTGCGGATCCCGACAACAACTACATAAAATAATCGGCTCGATAGGAGTCAGCTTTGAAACGGCGAGTATGATAGCCACAACTAGGGAAACCTCGCTGAAGACGAGACAATCGTTTTGGTTTGCAGTGGCGAGACGCGGCATATTGGTCTTGGTGTAGCTGAGAAATGCGTGACGCTCTCTCTTTCATATGGGTGTCGCTCATATTTGGATAGCGTGCACGTGTCCGAGGAAAGGTGTACCACCTTTTTTCGTTGATCGGGACCCAATCATCGCGGTTTCACGAAATATGATTCCAAATTTTTTAAGGATATGAATCTATGGCTCCCGAGTACAGGATGTAAGGTATTTTGGAGGCAGAGAGAACAACTTGAATTAACGCGCGCCTCGACGGACGCCATCTCCCGAGAACTGTCAATAAATGTAGTCTACCCGTTTCCCCCATGTGGCCGCGACCGTCTGGCCGCGGGAGGGGCGTCCCTCCTCGGGTCTCTTCTGAAAACTTTCCGGTGGGATATCCCAGATGAGTCTAATTTTTGCTCCACGGTCGAGAGCCCTATTCTGCTCAGGTTACAGGCTCGATATTCCCGCGAAAAGGTTTGTCCTCACGCATGCTCTAAACTGAGCGGAGAGCTATGTTTACGTGACGCAGACTAAAATCAAGGCGCGCGCCGACATTCGGGCCTCGAAATCAGACGGTCTCGTCCTCTGTCGGATATCCTGCCGTCTGGAAGCGGAATTCGTCGCCAGTGGACACTCGGAACCAACACACACAGAAAAGAGGATGTTTACAGAACCCTGTCAAGCACGCGGCAGCACAGCCCCCGGCGGTGAATATGCTCGTATGGAAAAAAACTGGCATAATATTACACTCGCGGTTGTTTACAAGTAATTGCTCGCCGAGATCTCAGCGTTTATGCCGTGCTCGCTGGACTCACAAACGGCAGCAGCGGCAACAGCGATACTCACCACTGAAAGCGGTCCCGGCAAAACGACGGTCGGCTCTCTCTTTCACTCAGCCTCTAAATGCCCTCTCCTGTGAAGTCTCTCGCGCTCCTTTGTTGACTCCGGCCCGCAGGACCTTCCCCACCGAACAAAAACTACTCTATACAGCAGCTCTCGATTGCGTGTGAACTTGACTCGCTTCAAATTGAGCAGTGAACAAATCTTGAGCTTATTCGGCTCGTTGAACTTATCACGACGACGGCAGCAGCGGTCAACGGAACTGGGCTCCCAATGCGGAGAAGGCGGACTCGATCGGCCTAAGTGCCGCAGTGTGTACGGGTACTCCTGTCGAGCATCGGATGTTGATTCCGATCCCCGTCGTCGCTTGTCGTCGTGGTGGTGGTGGTCGTCGTCATTGTTGCCCCCTCAGCAGTCAGAAGTAGCTTTCGACGTTATACAGTGCGCCAACCCAAGTCACGATCATGCCCGAGGAGAGCACCGTCGATGATTTCGGGAGTTCCCTCGAAGCCCTTCTAGCGAATTTTCAAGTGGACCGCAGCCGTTCGCTGAGCGCCCGATGTCGGAAGTTCGCCATAGACGGCCAGGTTGTCGGTCTGATACGGAATTCGGATTGGGAATTGATGAGAAAACACACGGAGGGCGTGTTTCTCGAGAATAACGACGCCATCACACTGAACCCGGAGTGGAAAACCTGTGAAGAACGAACACTGCAGATGGCAGCCGTGCTGCAAAAGCTACGTGAGAAAAATCTCTTCCCAACGCTCAAAGGATGGCGCAACGAGACGTACGACATAGCCGCCAAATTCGGTGATTTACCCTTGATGCGTATGGAGCGATCGGCTACGTGCCTCTTTGGAACCAAACGCTATGGCGTGCACATCAACGGGTACGTCGAGAATGAAGATGGGCGTGTGGAGAGTGTGTGGTTCCAGAAGAGGAGTCCCTCCAAGGAAACGTGGCCAAACAAAATTGACATCATGGTCAGTGGAGGTCTCAGCTCGGGCAACACTGTCATGGACTGTCTCGTCAGAGAAGCTGAGGAAGAGGCTTCGATGTCCGAGGAGCTCGTCCGGAGACTCGCACGTCCGGTCGGCTTCGTGTCGTTCATCTACGAAGACGAGAGGGGCATATTCCCCGAGACAATCTTCTGCTTCGATGCGCGGCTCCCCCGCGATTTCGTCCCCAGGGCATCCGATTGCGAAGTCCAGTCGTTTCATCTCGTTCCGATCAACGACGTTGCCAAGCTTGTCGTCAACAGCGACTCGTTCAAGTTGACTTCGGCGCCGATCGCTCTCGATTTTCTGGTGCGTCACTCAGAACTACACGCCGACACGCTACCCCAGTACGGAGCGTTGCTCGATGCCATTCACATGGGCTTGCACAATTCCTATCCCGAAAATATCATCTCTGCGAGCAGCCAAGGTCATTGCATATGACGAAGCCGCTGGGTCCTGGAAGAGGACCAAATATAGTGAGAACCGGATGCAAGACGGCCTATATGTGATTCATCCAACGCCGGATCAACATCATCACAGACAGCACCACAAGTATACGATTATTTATTGAGCAAGGAGATCATATTGTATTGTACCGACGGCAAAATATATCGCAGAACAATGAGTAGGTGATCGATAACAACAGGGAGCTTTTATAGCGGTATGTTCGAGAGAAAATCGTCATGATAAGATCAAAGTTGACAATAAACGATAATGGCAAACGGAAAACAATCTCTGAGAATCTGGAGCACACCACGGAGCGCGACCACAGGAGAGGGTATAACGCAGACTTTCGTCTTTCCGATTTGTGTTGATATCTCTGTGGCTCAGCCGATAACCGGGGCAGGAACGGTCCTCCGAATTCCGAATGCGTTTTTTCAAACGGACTGAACTGTATTCACTACGGTTCGAGCGATGCTCCAACTCACGGACCCGTAATCAGAGTGGTCGCTCGAAATCATTATACATAAGTACAACGAATAGATTTTTTCGGTCACGCGAGATTAGTCGCCACGAGATTTATCTGTGTGAAGATCAGAATCTTGTTCCATTAAGGGAAATTATATTCAAATTACATTCATTCAATTATATTCATGCCCCGGATCAAGGATCTGCGGGCATTTATCGCGAGAAGTATCAGTGGAACCATGCAGCCATTCATGCCGCTCGGTAAGACATTCATTCGTTCTCCAGTCTCTCTGCATCGAGTCTACACCCTGTCCGACGGATCTGACAGACGTCGCCCGTCACAACGCACGAATGTCATCTCTTACTCATATGTCCGGTATTGCCTCCGGCTAATCTTAGCGTCCTCGCTTCGAGCCGTAACTAGCCGTCATTCTTGAATGGAGGAGTTTTAGGAATGCTTGGGAGCCGACTAGACTCAAGGAATATGATTGCCAGTCCCGATTCCTCGTCTCGAGAATTTTCGGAAATCCGAAACTCAGGTCTGAATTGAGGGGACTTTTCCTGTTGAATATCTCAATTTACTCGATGCCGAGAAGCTTCTAATTTCGCGGCGTCGAAGCAATCTTAACGAGATCCCGTCTAGGCCTCGGCTACAGTTGCTTCACTATGGCATGCGCTTCAGGGCCGGTCTATTTTCGATAGCTGTCTGCAGACAGAGGAAAAAGTGTGAGTATTCGTTGGGCTCTCGGGCTTCCCCGATCATCTCATCCGATTCCCTCCCGCGGGTTAAGGGCGAATCCGATATCACACCGTCCAGTATTCGTTGGCAGTCGAGCTTTCGGTGACGGCAATCGACGGCACAGGATAGCACTCGATAACCCTTTTCGAAAACGATTAGTCGTACCTTCCATCAGAATCCGTGACAGGTATAGCTCGAAGTGATCAATCGAAAGCATTCTGTCACGCCACTAATTTATCGAGTTACGTATCTGATGCGATGTTTCCAAAGATAGATCTGTGGATTCCGGGAGGATAGGCTACGACTGTTCTTCGTGGAGCTACACAAGGGAAACTTCCAACGAGCATGCATTCCGATTCGAGAAGCGAGCTATGATTCAGCCTCATAGTCCTGTGGTTTCAGGAGCAATGCCGTGAGCGATCGTGCTAGGCTTCCAAGCATCTTATGACGTGTCTAGCTCGGCTGATACGTAGATAGAGCGAGTCATGGATAAGGATTCCGGATAGAGAGATAGCGGGGACCCTAGCGGAATCTCTAATTAGGACTTCCGAGCCATAGAGATTCCTCTGCCGTCCTTAGCTTAACGCACGCTCCCCCATTTGAGGTCAGCCTAGCTCAGAGATCGATGACGGTAAGCCCTTGACCCTTTTCAGCGAAATAGAAATAGAATTAGAATGTCTCCAGATTCTCTTTCCACGATGAGGGAAAATGTGTCAAAGTGACATGGAATGAGATATGGTTCCAGAGGTTGAATATCTCGCGTATGCACACGTGATTTTTCAACTCCTGACCCGATAGCATGCTACGCCGATCGACGCTGGGGCGGCGGAAACCAGTACTCCGTTAATTGTCCGAAATCATTCCGTATTCATTCACACTCCCCGCGGAGGTCGAGAAATACGCAAGACCACGATTGTCGGCGACTTCGAGCCATTACGGCAAACTCCGGGAGTTCTACGTGCCATCATTCATCGGCTCCATCCGGGAAGAGCAGAGGATCCCCCTCATGAGATTAAGTTCTGGGAGAGCCGTCTGAACCGGATGAGCTCCGCTCCCCTCAGTGCTCTCTTAGCGCCGATGCGAACCGAATCGCGATACGCTAGCAAGATAGCGAGCCGAATTATTCATGGACTCCAGTAAGATCGGTGATGTCATCGCCGCGATGGACCTGAAATTATACTCGGATTTCTGTGAATTGCACGTAGTTATCGCCGCAATGGACCTCGACTGAGGCGATTCCCGCCGCGGATGGATCTGAGCAGGCCTCCGGATTTATCAGATGCATTCCATCTGAGGAGCTGAGTGTCCTCATCAGCAGGTGATGAGAAGACTTCTCTAATTGCCTCTTCTCCCTTCTGCACCGATCATGTATTTGGACGGAATCATGATTGAGTTACTTATCTGTACAAAGGAGAAGATCCAACTCACACTAAGTTAGGTCTGTGTTACAGGCTTACGATGATTCGAGCTGCGGCCTCGATCGATTTCTAGAATTACGCGATCAAGCCCGCGTCTCCACCGAAAGGCAGCGCTCGCTGGCGCTCTGGGTAGCTCCCGGATACGGATATCTGAATTCTGATATCTGAACCTCCCCCCAAATTCCGCCGAAGGTCCCTCCGAAGCCTATCTGCCGCGGATTCTGCGACTTGAGGAATGCACAATCCCCACCTCACTCCCGCTTCTCAACCGTGATCCCTCAAGCAGTGTCTCCGGGCAGGCCGCTCTCTGGGTGGATCTCGGAAGCTAGAGCCTCTCGCTTCTTTGAAGAAACGAGTGCATCCCCAGACTTGTCTCAGACAGCTCTCAGATTTCAGGTGACCGCAAAGCTAGCCTCGGACGGGACAAGCTACGGAGGTAGGTATCGCGTATGTCGCGTGAACGCCAGCGAACGGGCAGCGAAGCCCGTATGGCTCCCACGGCTGTGTCGTTGGCCTTCATTCATTGCAGATCGGGACCCGCCTCAGTGAATCGAATTTCAACTACTGACTCCGAGCGCCGCGCCCCTGACCATCTGAGGTCAGATCGTCTCTTATCCTCGGAAAAAGTCCCCTTGCTTTCTCCGGGTATGAAGCCCTCCTGATGGATCATCTCCTGTATATGTATGAGCTACGCTGGGAGACTCGGATCCCTAGATCGCTCATATCTACGTCCGAACTCCGTTCACAGAAAAGTCTATGCCCGTGCTTCGCAAACCTATCGCGATTCTCAATGTACACCCGCCTTTGCCGTCGATTCGTAGCGAGCTCCGCTTACCGCCAAGCGAAGTTCATACAGACGTCATAGTGGAGCTTATTCTCATTCTTCCATTCTCGGATAGGGGAACTCCCGAACGAGATCACTGTAGGGATTTTCTGCCTACGTAGATGTATGTACGCAGAGTTTGAGCGCCTCCTCGGGGTGCTACCTGGATATGATGTCCTTGGACGACTCGGCGATGCGATGCGTTGGGTGGTAGAGATCGACATACAAAAGCTCGCGAAACGATTACGACTCGATCCCGACTGAGCCTTGAAGGGGTTCAGACGGACCGAAGAGATTTCGCTCAGCTGGGAAGAACGCATATTGGTAGAGACAGTACAATATAGAGGGGAAGGACCACGAGAGTTCATGGAGGATTGGTTTCACTCCGCTGTGCGCCTGGTGGAAGCGAATTCCGATGGCTCCCAGGGTTTCAAGAACGATCAGCTCTTGGAATCGCGGATTTCCAAGCTCGGCCACCATGTCGACTTGAGAGGAACCGCTCTGCTGAAATTGCAAGTTATTCGCGGAGGCGCGATTCAGCAGCGGCTTCACCCAAGACAGCTCTGCACTTAGTGAGTCGAACTTGAGCGATCATTCTGATAAATCCTGAATCCACTGGACTCGTATTCGCTCGAGGATCATCATCAGGATTCTCGATGCCCTCCGAGGTTCTATGCACCTTGCTGTTTCTGATACCATTCGCTTCGTCTCTGTCGGCGACGATGAGAGCTCAGTATTGGCTGGAAACAAATGTTCGGGGGAAACAGAATTGATGCGCGCACTACCTGGCACAGGGAGCGGAAGTTTTCCACCAATCCCCCCCCCCCTCGGATTCCCAGGAAGTCAAACTCGTTCCAAGTTCAGACTCATCAGACGCTCATTGTGCCCAGAGGCATCATTGAGTGCGCTCCGTGTCGAGAGAATTCTACCCACCGAAGAAGAAAGGCGATGCCGAAAGAAGCCATGAACATCGCTGAGAAGCTTCAGCTATACGTGATCGACTCCAGGCCTCAAGCATTCAGTCTAGACGGGGAACCGTAGCCTGTGAAGTTGACGGCACAAAGTTCAATGCTACGGAGTGATATCACGTGCGGCAACATATTCGCAGCGCAGGACGCATTAGACGTCTCCAACTCTTCAGCGAGAGTCCCCCGGAGAGAGACCCTCTCCAGCGAGCTGGTCTCACGAAGAGAATGGCTTGTTCTCTTATCATACTGTGGCCCGAGGGTATGTATACACCACGAGAGGGCCATGCTGTACGTTAGCGACGCCGCGCCGCTTCTTACATGAGGAAAGCCTGGGTCGCTCCGGGAGTTTCGTTTGGGTGAGATGATTCAATAGACGTGTTTCGCGCTGGTATAATAAGCTAGTAATAGATAAATAATTGACGATTCGTGGAGGCACTGCAATAATAATCATTCACACTGTATTGCGCAGAGCGTGGACTATCATGCAAAATGCATATCTCGAATCTCTTTAGCTGAGAACGACTATTCCGAGAGTTCGATGCATGAAATGCATATTGTGACACCTGATGCTGGCTAAACGCTTCGAAATCGTCGGATTTCTGCGGCTGATACGGTCCGGCTCGTGCAGAGCGTCGGCGTTTTCGGATAAACGTTCTTTCTTCCTATAACCCCAAGTCCGACAGCGTTTCAAGTCAAGTGTTGATCTGCTCTTACTTAGTCCGAGTCCTGACCATGGCCATCGCCGAAATCCAGATAGAAGAGCTCTGACCTCGAGGGCAAACCGTCTTGATAAGTCTCAATAAATAAGTCTTCGTAAGTCTTCGGTTTTCGAATTCCTTCAATATTCAGACAGTAGAGTACAATTCATCCT